GACAATTAGAGATAAGCCCAGAGCAAAAAAAGTACAATTAATAGTCTTAATCATAAAAGTTGGAAGGATCACAGGTTTCTCAAATTGTTTTTTAGAATTAAAACCAATCTACCACTTTGCTCAGTCAATTGATTTTATTGGGTAAACTATTGGACCACTAAATTCTTGAAGAACTTGAAGCAAATATGAATCAGGCTTCCCTCTCTGAATCACTGTATCAGTGAAAATCCATTTAATTGTCCAGTGAAAACAACTACTATTAGCTTTTACAAGATTATCATGAAAAGTATCAAGTGCTATTGCAAACATTGCAACCTGTGTACTTGTGTTTGTGGATAGTAGTGTCTAGATTCTTGAAGTTTATGTAGTTTTTTTTGAAAAAAAATGATACCTTAGTTATCAGTGGATTAAGAAGCATTTTAAAAATAACACAAAGAAGCAAGTGCATAAATACATTTCACCTAATAACATGTAACTTTCCCTAAAATTGCCTACTCCAAATTTTGAAAACAATTGCTACAGCTGAATGAAAAATGAGTTCCACACAAACATGATTTGCATCACAAGCCAAGGTTAGGGCATGCACAAAAGATTAGTTGCAATAGCTTCAAACAGATCTACTCTGAAGGGCGTTTCATACTACTTGTTTAGAAGACATTGAGATCAACAATCTTCTATTTTACAAATAAACTATGTTTAGTTTCATTTTCATATTGGCTGTTGAAGTATGTTCCATTACTTTTAGGGTTAGTTCTACAAAGTATCCAGTCAATTACTGAAACAATGTTTAAATATATAAAATGCTACAGTTCCCTGTTAGATACATGCATTGGATATTCATCACATCATTGGTTTATATTCAACTGGACTCTGGTATTATTTGGAATAGTCAAACAAGCAATGACTTTTTTTTTAAAAAACTAAACAATTAACCCTTGTGTTCATGAGCGGAAGAGTAGGGTTAGATTTGAAATTTAAACAGTGCCAGGGAGTGGATACATTTTTGGATAAGGACCTTGAAATCTATCCATGGGAGCCAGCTTGTGAACGGTGGAGTTGGTGAGACCAGCAAGGTACATTGGAAAAAGTCTAAGCAGGATATGCTGAAGGCACGAATGAATGTTTCAGTGGCATTGAGATTAATTAGAAATGAAGTAAATGCTATGCTGGCACATGCAATAGTTAATTTGCACCAAGGTACATCCTACAAACTTTAGGCGTGAACATCCAACTTACATTTTTATGACACGACAAGTTATTGCAGCATATTATGCTACATTTTCTCAAATGCTCTTACAAAGAAACCTCTGAAAATGGAGGTGAAAACGCATTATTTCAACAGCATAAATGATGTCAAGCATTGGAACAAGTGCATTGGGACATAGAATGCCTCCTCCAAGGAACTGATTTTGTATGTCTTATTTATCTTTTCTCATTAAGGAAAGTTCTCACCTATCCTTTACATCACCTGACATAAACAAATCAAGACCCGACATTTTCCATTTGGGGAATTACAGAAGTGAACACTCATCCTATCCCTTCAGAGTACAGCACATTATTCATAGAATTATACAGTACAGAAGGAGGCCATTCAGCCCATTGTGTCTGTGTCAGCTCTTTGAAAAGAGCTATCCAATACAATCCCACTCCCCCGCTCTCTTCCCATAGCCCTGCAAACTTGTCCTCCCCATATAATTATCTAAATAATTATTATTATTAGTTGCAAAATGAGTTGTTATTGCAGCACATTTTGTAACTGTTGCATGAGTCTGAAAATGGGATTGAAAAGACACTCATCAAGAAAACAGCATGATAAACGATAACTCGAGAAAAGCATCTGAGGGCATAGTGTGTGTCCTCCAAGGAACCGAATGCTCATCACTCTGACTCATGGGAACTCAGCTCAAACAATTTGATTTTGACACATTTTAATTAAACTTCATAGGCCAAATCAAAGCATTCTTGTTTCAAATGCTACCAAGTCATTTATTTTTTATACTTTTAAGCAGTCTATTCTTGTCAAATGATTGCGGTCAGTCTATTGCTGTCAAATCACAACTAATGTTTGCAAGATTTACCATTGATTTCATCTGAAATTGTTCTTGCTGATGATAATGCAGTATATAAGTTCACTGAAACGTTAATGACATTGGAATCATTTAGACTCTCAGCTGAAGAGACGTTATAACCATTAGCACTAAGATGCTAATAGCCAAATTGGTAGACAAATACTAGGATGTGATTTTGTTAATAGCAGTTGAATTAATTTTTACTGACCCATTTTTAGTCTTTGAAAGACTTGTCAGGTGGCATGTTTAAATAGAATAATTATATTAAAGACCATCGATGCTGTATTTCACAAATGCAGGAAATATGAAGAGCAGCATTTTTGCTGATCTGGGCATTTTCCCAAGATAATCGCATGATGTGTGCGTTGTTGCTACAGCAACTAATCAGAGTCATTCTTTTCAACTGGTAGCATTAAATGACACAACAAAAGAAGCCTTTAACTCCAAGTACTAAATGGAAGCTGGTTTCCAAAACAAACAGCATTTTAACTAAAGGAACAAGTAGTACATATATGCATAGCTGAGATTTGTACATTGCTGCTTTATTTACAGCATTGTTTAATCTGACCAATAATCTTTTCCTAGTCACTATATTCATTTATTTTTCATCCTTAAAGGTAAATATTAGAATTGCAAAACCTGTGGACTGCTACTTTAAACATTAACCATTAGGAGATCCTCAATTTTTCATCAAATTAAAAGGGAGTACCAGTTGCTATGAAATTTCAAATATATATTGTACAGTCCAATATTTTCTAAGAAGCCATAAAGGAGGATCAATCTATATGCTTTTTCTAAAGACAAATCATTTCAGGACTACATTACTCATAATTATAAAAATATTTTACAGTACTTATAATTAAAAAAATGCAAATATGTTGCAGTCCAGAAATGCTCCATATTAAACCATAAAGCTTTTATTTAAATCTATTGCTATTAATCATAAGTAGATCTTGAATATCTAGAAATAATTATATATGCCATGGTTCTTGAAATACACTATGTTCCTGGTGATCGACTGCAATGGTTAAGTTGTTAAATTTAAAATCAATAATTCAGTAACTTATTCTGTACCCACACCAAATTATAACAGCATAGTATATTATATAATATACTTTTTTAAAAAATCTTTCTCCTTTTTATAAAAGATAACTTTGTATTGTTTTAATACATTTGGGAATATCATTGCATCAGTGAATCAAATCAATTATAATTGTATTAAACACTGCAATTCCTCGTGTTAAAGCATAAAATCATGCTTCATAGCATCGACAAAAACTGGCTCTTAACCCTTTAACACTATGCTGAGTATGACTCTGACAATCATTTGGTCTAGTTTGTGTTTCCAATAGAGACGGCATTTTGGTTCAGCTTGTCATTCAGTCATTCGGGAAGCTATACCTTTGGCTCTCTTTCTTTCTCTCCCTTTATAAGTAATAATGTAGGTATATTCTAGTATAAACAAAGACATAAAAACATATTAATTTGGCCTGGCAAGCTCCAACGGCTCTGATGGAATTATCCATGTCCATTTAACACAAAATGAAACTATACTGTACTTGGAAACCTACACCCATTTCTTTTTGAATGATCAATTTTAGAAACAAATCAATGTATATGAAACCGAACATTTTGTTCTTGTTTATATAAAACAATGTTTATATACATTGTTCATATAAAAACTATTTTCTGAAAAGGGAAAACAATCTCGAAACATCCGTATTTGAAATTACATTTGATGACTGACTGCATTGCTCCATGTTTTAATTATTATCCCACTGCTTTTAATGCCTGAAGCGAAGCACGGATGATGGATTTGCCCAGCACAAAACCAAAATGATGCTTTTTTTAAAAAATAACACTGCTTTACAAGCCTACAACAAACCACGACCATTCATTCATAATAACCCTCCCCCAAGTCTTGATTATGTCAGAATACATTTTTTGTGTGTGTTTTTTTTAAAAAAAGACACCCCAAATGATATATATTCATTGACACTTTCATTGAGACACCACTAATATTTAAACTAGAACGAGATGAAAGGACTGGGTGAATTGGTGTGTGTGTGGGGGAGGGTGGATGATGGTGTGGGGAGCAGATGGTGGGTTGGGGGATGATGGTGTAGGGGGCCAGGTGGTGGGATGGGTTGGGGGAATGGTAGTATGGGGGGCAAATGGTTGGGTGGGTTGGGGGGCAGATGGTTGGGTGGGATAGGTTGGGGGCAGATGGTGTGGTGGGATGGGTTGGGGGGGATGGTGGTGGTGGATGGTGGTGGGATGGGTTGGGGGGGGATGCTGGTGGGATGGGTTGGGGGGATGGTGGTGGGATGGGTTGGGGGGGATGGTGGTGGGGTGGGTTGGGGGCGATGGTGGTGGGGTGGGTTGGGGGGGATGGTGGTGGTGGTGGGGTGGTATGTTGGGGGGGGATGGTGGTCGGATGGGGGAAATGGTGGTGGGGCATGGTGGGGGATGGGGGGAATGGTGGTGGGATGGGGGGGTGATGGTGGTGGTGGGGTGGTGTGTTGGGGGTGTGATGGTGGTGGGGTGGTGTGTTGGGGGGGTGATGGTGGTGGTGGGGGGGTGGATGGTGGTGGGGTGGGGGGTGGATGGTGGTGGGGTGGGGGGTGGATGGTGGTGGGGTGATGGTGGTGTGTTGGGGGGGTGATGGTGGTGGTGGGGTGGGGGGGTGATGGTGGTGGTGGGGTGGTGTGTTGGGGGGGTGATGGTGGTGGTGTGGTGGGGGGGTGATGGTGGTGGCGTGTTGGGGGGGTGATGGTGGTGGTGGGGTGGTGTGTTGGGGGGGGGGGATGGTGGTGGGATGATGGGTTGGGGTGAGGGGGTGAGATGAGATGAGCGGGTGGGGAACAGGAACTATTAACTTAATGGTGTAAAACTGTCACATGCCATCCCTGACCGCGGGGGTAACACTACCTGATAATATCATCGTTGTGACCCAGGAAAAATTTCTGCGTGTGCTCCCTGGTGTTGTACACAACTCCCACTCCGGCCACGAAGTAGACCACCTCCTTGGCAACGGTGTAGTAGAGATTATTCCGGCACTGGTGACCTCGGTAACCGTAAACCCACTCTAACCGCAGTTGGCATTTCGGTGCAGTTCTATCAGCCATTTCCTTTCGTGGTTCGGTGTGTTTCTTGTCCTGGGTTCTCTCTCTCGCCGTCTCTGCTCTTCTCTTCTCTCTCCGCCCCACACCAGACTGCTCCCCCGGCAGTAGTAGTAGTAGTAGTAATAATAATAATAATAAGGAGAGGTGGAGGAGGGGGGAATAAAAAAAAATGGCTTCTTCTATTCTAAATGCCTCCTCGCCACAGAGAGAGAGAAAAAACAATAAAAATTAGAAATTTTTTTTTAAAAAAAACCCCCGTCAAATGAAAACTACCTTCCACAACGGCATAACGTCGCCCGCCGTTCATTTACCGGCGGGGGGGGGACGGGGGGGACGGGGGACGACGACAAACACACGAGCCACACGGACCGGCGGGCGAGAAGTGCCGTTGCACGAGCTCGTTACCAGGTGGGAAGCAGCGCTTAGTAACGACGCCATGGCGGCCGGGGCGGGGCGGGCGGTGACGTAGATGAGAGGGGCGGGGCGGAGGAGGGGGGCGGGGCGGAGGAGGGGGGCTATTTGCTGGTGGGGGTCAATTGGACACGCACGTGACGTAATACGTACGCCACCCGGCTGCAGACCCTCGTCACCACGCTGGGCTGGACTGAGGAGCAATAATGCTGCCTGTCCAGCACCAGGGGACCAATATGTGGTGCAGCAGGTTACCAAGACCGGGAGGGAGGGGGTTGCAATGGAGCGCACGCAGCACCTGACGTCTATAAAAATAATAGTAATAATAATAATAATAATCCTTGCATTTGATATCGCGCTTTTCACGTCGGGAGGACGTCCCAAAGCGCTTCACAGAACACACTGTAAAGTGAATTGACTGTATATTTTTTGTGGGCGAACGCGGCAGCCAATTGCGCACAGCAATGTCCCACAAACAGTCGTAGATTGAAAATGACCAATTTATCATTGTTTTTGGTTTTGGAGGGATTATTATTAGGCTCTGTGTGGAGTAAGGAAACTTGCCCAAGGTTTCGCCCTCTGCCTGGAATTGAACTCAGGTCTCTCGCTTGCAAAGCGAGTGCTCTAACCACTGAGCTACAGGACTCCACAAATAATAGTGGATTAATAGTAATCATAATAATAATCCTCCCGTCTGATGCAGTAGCACCTTATCACGTCTTCAAATACGACGTCTCAAACCGCTTGACAGAATATACTGTAAAGTGAATGGACTGCCTTACCTGTGGGCAGATTGCCCACAGCAGCCAATTGCCCGCAGCGGCGTCCCACACACAGCCGTGGATTGAAGTGACCGATTTGTTTTCTTGCTCTCTTCGGGGATTATTTTCAGGCATGTGGCGTAAGGAAACTTGCCCAACGTTTTGCCCTATCGGGAATCGAACCCGGGTCACTCGTTTGCGAGGCGAGTGCTCTAACCACTAAGTACGGGACTGCTAATGCGCGAGCCAATAATTCTTGCTTTTGATATAGCGCTTCATCACATCGTTGAGACATATCAAAGTGCCTCACAGAATATATTGTGAATATATTGTGCTTCACAGAATATAAAGTGAATTGACTATATTTTCTGGGCAAAATGGGGCAGTCAATTGCTCACTGCAGTGTCCCACAAACAGTCATGGATTGAGTGACTACATTTATTTTATTATATTTGGTGGAGAGATTAAAGCGCTCTGAGACGCCATCGGCATGGAGGGCTCTATATAAATCCAAGTTGTTGCTGTTGTTGTATTACCCCCAGAAAGCAAACCGCCAATTGACTAATAATCGATTTCCTACTTACTGGTAGGTAACTGGAGGCATGTTTTTTTTAAAAAAGAAATTCAGTTTTAAAAAAAATCCTAAAGGGAATGAGGAATGAGTGAGTTAGGGCTCCGGTCTTAGATGCCTTGTTTCTTCCCTGTTTGAAACTCTTGATTAGTTTGTGTGTGTGTAAGTACTGCACTGTGTAAAAGTGTTCTCACGTTGAACTCTGCCATTAGTGTACTCCTCAATTTTTTTTTGCATCCCATCACAGAAAGCAGTAATTTCCCCTCATTCACACACACACATCCGTGGAGATAATAATAATATAATAATGCTTGCATTTGATATAGCGCTTTTCACGTTTTCTAGACGACTCAAAGCGCTTCACAGAATATATTGTAAAGTGAGTTGACTGTATGTTTGTGGGAGAAACGCTGCAGCCAATTGCGCACTGCAGTGTCCCACAAACAGTCGTGGATTGAAGTGATCAATTTATTAATGTTTTTTTTCTTGAGGGATTATTATCAGGTGTGTGGAGTAAGGAAACTTTGCCCAAGGTTTCGCTCTGCCGGGAATCAAACCCAGGTCTCTTGTTTGTGAGTCGAATGCTCTAACTTCACGAGTCCTGTAGCTAAATTCTTAAAGCTGCCACTTTGGCAGTGGAAAGACATCATTATGGAAACAGGTACCCTGCTCAATCACACCTCCTCATTAAGTGACAATAATGCTGCTTGATCTTTATAAAGCTGATAAGAGCTTACGAACCGGTTAAAGTATCAAAAGGTATGTGGAGTAAAGAGAATGGGGGAAAGCGAGAGAAAGCAAAATTAATTTGTAATAGACATGGAGCCAGTCACTGACATTTCCCACAAGTATTCTCAGTGTCCAGTATAAGAATAATAAATGATAATTGCATTTGATATCACTCCTTATATCGTCAAATTGTATCAAAGTTGCTTTACAGGATTTTACTGTATAGCGTAGTGTCTTTGTATTTGTAGGCAAATGTGACAGGAGACTTGCACAGAGTGATATTCCACAAACAGTTATGAAATGAATGACCAATTTTATCTAAACATTTACATGATAGATATGAAAGAAATGGGACCTAGCTCCACAGCATGCACAAAAGGCAAGCGGCATATCTATTCCACATGTTGATTGGTACAGAGATACACAATTCAGCTGCAGGATACAGTAATACAAAAGAAGCAACTAGGCCAAATGCACAAATACAAGCAGATCAGAGATATCAATTGACTCAGTACAAGTGCTTCTAAAAAAACTGCAGCCGTACACTCTTACAAGAAACTTCTTCTCCACTAAGTTTTCCCAATGGCGGGCACCTTGTCCCATGAGTGGATCACCTGGCCCCCTCCGTTGCCTCGTTCAAGGCTTGTCTCAAGACCTTTGATTGTGCCTTTGGTCATTCTCTCACCCTCACCTCCCCTTGATCCCAACCCCCAGCTCGGGTGCAATCTCTTGATTGTCCAGTGCCTTGGGACGTAAAAGGCGCAATATAAATGCAATTTGTTGTGATTGGTAGGCGTTCTTTTTCAGTTTTACTCGACTCATTTTCCTATTCTCCTTCCTACTCAGCGGGGAATTGATTCATCATCTGCACTTGGCACCTCCATACTGATAGTGAACTCTCTCCAGATCACTCACCCTCCCAAGTTGAAGAAGGATGGTGGAGGTTGTAACGACTTAAAAGTACAAAATAACAAGATTTAAAAAATGAACATCTCATGCATTTTATATTTCTTCCAATTGAATAGTCATTGTACTTTTTTTGGTGATAGATTTAATACTTTAATAATTAATGTTCATGTCTTAGAGCAATGAGCCAACTGCATAATGCATATTGCTCATGAAAATGAAAGAACACTTGATTATCTAAGGTAATGCAAGCTTGTTCTGAATAATGAGCAACTACTATGGTGCTAAAAATGTGGTATTCACTCCAAAGGATTGTAAATAGCAACTCCAAATCACATCTAGTGGTTCCTGATAATGAAATGATTTGAGAACAGAGTTCCTGCAAACCATTAAGCTCTCTCAGTTACCGGCATTGTCGTTATTTGCAAATCCAGAAAGCTAATAACACATATAGTTAACATATATATTCAACCCTATAGTTTTGCCCACAAAATACAGTCAATCCACTTTACAGTATATCCTGTGAAAAGTTTTGAGACGTGTCAAGAACATGATAGAGCGATATATCAAATACAAGTATTATTAGATTGTTTGTTGGAGGTTTTATTTCTATATATTTCAGAGTGTAATGCAATTTTCATTTATTGATCTTGGAATATATTCATTAATCCAGTGGGCTAGCGACACTGCAGAATGTCGCTGGTTACGCTTTAAATCTCCACTAATGCATCATTCTCCAGCCAAGAGAATGAGCAACCTGCTATCAGGCCTTCGATAATGTCTCCTTTGCATTAACTATCAGCAGGTGCACAAATGCACTGCTTACTCTTTGATTTCTCCTTAAATGTCTGACTTTCAGTGTTTCCTCCTAATGGTCCACTTGATACTGAGAAATCAATTGGTAGGGGATGAAAAACGCAGTTTTATCATTCCTTTATAGAAAGGAAAAGGGTTGCTGCAAAATTCTTCGAAATAAATAATAACCCTTGCATTTAATATAGCGGCCATATCACTGTATTTTTATACTTACAATTTGCTTCATTGTACTGGTTTCCTCATTTCAAGTAGATTAATTAGATGGTCATAGAAGTGCTTGGAAGACAAAGAACCTGCTTGGAACTTCTCTGCTTAGAGAAATACAAATTTGTGAATCAATGAATCACCTTCAAGTATGTAATTAGATTCAAATAACCTTGCCATTAGGAAATATAACTATACAGATGCCAGATGACTGCAGATATTAATTTTATAATAAATGGGAACACAAGAATCTTTAGATGCCAAAGTAAAGTGATGTTCAGTCCACAGATAACACAGTAAAATATAATTTACATTTATATAGTGCCTTTCACATCAGGGGAGGATGTCTCAAAATGCTTCACAAAGCTGACTGAGCACTGAAGCTCAGACCAAAAGTGTGGTTGAAAGAGATAAGTCTTGAGGCAAAATTGGAAAGGGATAAGTGAAGCAGAAGGACTCCAAGATGGAGTTCCACATAACCAAATTAGTTTGTTTGGGTTCATTACATTGTTCATTTGTTGAATAACAGTTGCTTCACATAAGAATGCAGAATGTTAACCAGTTAAAGCTAGGGCTGGAATGGAAGCTTGAAGTACAAATATGTCTAGCAATGAACCAGCTATTGATTGTAATATGTAAACGTTAAGGATGAAAATACAAGGGATGTACTAAGTAAGTGATTGTATTTTTGTATCCTTTAATCTTTAAATTACAACAGGAATGGTTAACATTTTATAACATTAGTTCTCTTACAGATGCTTTTGATTCACTCACCAAATCGGGTTCCCAATATTGTTTTTCTAAACCCTGTATAGTTGTTTCTACTGAAGTCTGCTAAAGTCTCCAGTGTTTGTCTCAGTCTCAACCAATTTAAAGTGGGCATGGACCAACAACACAACACTGCCTGCAATGCAACAGGATTTGGCAGTAAGGGAGAGACTAAATTGCTTGATGAAGGAGAACATCATCTTCCTGCACCAACTAGACACCCTCTAGTGGGTTGATAAAATAATGTGGAGAGGAGCATATAATGGGTGACAGAAAGGAGTTATGGAAAGAAAATAATTTAGAAAATGGTTGTGTCACTGAAAATTCTTTAGAGGCCCAATAATAGACAACCAAATTGCTCCAATAACCTACTTATCCATGTATCTTTTATAATCTGTGCGAATCTCCAATTTCTCAATGATCCACATTAATATTCTGGTTTATTTACTAGAAAGAAATGTATTCTTTCTTCTACATTTATGAATAATAGACAACTGTAAAATCTCAACCTGGGATGCTAAACTCCATCATTTTAGTGAATCAGCCCTGCCCCCTATTGGAGTTACAATTTTGGTTGAGACTGATACATAAGAAATATGTTTTGTGAAAGGTTAATATGATAAAGTTATTGTAGTTGATAAGTACTTACAATATACAATATACAGTGTCTTAAAAAGAATGGTTAAAGGCTCTATAGAAGCTCATAAAGTCATTTAAAGTACTGAACAGATTTCTTATGTTCAATTGAGATTTGAATGCAGTTACCAAAGAATATTTGAGGAAGTGGAGCTATTCCATCCTTTAAAGCTATTCCAGTGAGAAGCTCTATTAACATTACATAACTCATTTATAATGGTGTATTTCACTGGGCTTTGGTAGTCTGGATAGTCCTGCATGGTAATAGCATTCTCCTAATTACTGTAGCTATTTAAAAAATGAGCAAAAAAGAACAATGTAGAATCCTGGCAGCAGCCAGAGGGGGAAGTTGACATGGTTTCAGAAAGTAACATATCTAAATTATGATAGGAAATGTTATGGGTTCCATCATAGCAAACTGGTTATCACACAGTTATTGGTTATGAAGTAACCCTTCTTTGGAGCAACCACATAAAAGTGAAAAACTAATCTTGGTAAATTCTCTCTTTTAAAAAAATGTTGCCTCAAATGGTGAAAAAAAAGTTTCGACACAAATCTGCCAAAAGGTGGTGCTATTAGAAAACACATGTAATCATTTGTTTGCTTCACTTTGATATAATTTGATTGCAATTTACAATAGAGGTTATATGGTGTTTAAAATATGGCAACCCTTTGAAGATGTAACATAATGCATTTCAAGCATTTGTGTGATGTTTCTACACCATTTTATCAATGTGAATTCACTTCCTTTTAAGTTCAATTTGTAGGTCCCTAAACGTCTGGAAAATCTTCAGATTCCTTAGTGGACCTTTAGGTTCATTGTAGCTTTGAGAAACCTCCACTTCAAACAATAACTTTGTTTCTCCTGGCAAGGTGTCTGAGAACACAGCAAGAGGTATCTTTCAGGTTACTTTCCACTTGTGCTTGCCTTATTGAAAAAGGTCCTTGGATAGGGAGCTTGCACTGGAGATCTACTCAATAACATCTGTTGTCTGGATGGGACAAGTTTCTTCAATACTGCTGTTATCTTTTTCACTTCATATTGCAATTCCATAAATCCATTTATTTGGAGGAGCACAGATTTGAAAGCCATTCTATCAGCAGACGGTAAATACTAGTGTATTGGCCCATATGATAATCACTAGTAGGCCAGGAACTAAAGATATGATTTCCTGTAATTTTGTGGTCATAAAAAAGTTGGAATATTCTAGGAGAGGCCACATTATACCTGAGTTTTGGTCTCCCGCATCTCACCTAGAAAACACAGTCATGTGTACTGACTGAAAACAGCAACTCCTCAACCCAACCCTGTACTGTCAGCTTCTGTTGAAAAGCAACCTCATTTGTAAGGTTTGTATCCCGTGCAAGTTAGTTGGGCTGTTTAAAAATCTGCAACTGTGTCCTGTACCAGTTAACCCTTTATTAAACCCCACAACTGCTATCCCTTCCTTGCTTATATTTAGTGTCACCTAGGGAGAGAATAATGTAAGATTAGAATTAACCCCATGAAACAAACATTGGCAATTTAGTTCTCTCAATAGTCATTCATTCTGTTAGTCAAACTAGGACTAGATGCTAACCATTTCTGGACTTTAAGCCAAGTGCATTTTCTCTGGAAGAAAGGTACAACCTCATAATGTAAAATAATATTTTGGGTCAATATGGAATGACAAACAAACCTTTTGGTTTTTACTTATTCTGCAATTATCTAAGGAATAGTGGGAAATCATAACAAACCTTCACAAAACAGGAGGGAGAATCACAAGGCAGTTGTGCCTGTGTCTTAAGAACAAAACTGGAATACAATTAAATTGCATTCTGTAACCTCAGTAAAAACCCTATTCTTTTGAAATCCCACATAAATGAGGATACATCACCAATAAACATAAAATAGGCCAGAATGTTGAATATGATTAGGAGGTTCCACCACAATTGTATGTTCTTACTGGAGTCCTGTAGCTCAGTGGGGAATCCTATAGATCAATGGTTAGAGCACTCGTCTTGCAAACGAGAGGACCTGGGGTCAATTCCCAGCAGGGCGAACCGTTAGACAGGTTTCCTTACTCCACACACCTGTTTACCGAGCATTAAGTAGGAACCAGGTTGTTAGGTTATTGGTGGATTGCTTTTCTGGGGGTAATAATTCCTTAAAACAAAATTGGTCACTCAATCCACGACTGTTTGTGGGACACTGCTGTGCGCAATTGGCTGCCGAATTTTATCTACAAAATATAGTCAATTAACTTTACAATATATTCTGTGAAACGCTTTGAGATGTCTAGAAGATGTGATAAGGTGCTATATCAAATGCAAGGATTATTATATTACTTAAAATAAGCAGGAACCCAATCACAATCATATAGACCAGCTCCTTTTGCAAGTTCCACCAGTTGTATTGAATCATGAAGAACAGTTCCCTTTAAAAGTCGTTCGGGTAATACTGAATTATTATGTCCTCATACCTGATGCTAAAAATTCCCCATTACCACTTGTCCCATATACAGATCGGACCATCCTGCCTTATGGAAATCCTTACAAGATAGTTTGGATATTACTAAAGTCATGTCATATCGGGAGTAATTGATCTGAAACAATCTGAAATTAAACCTTATAGCGTAATTGTTATAAAAGGGGTCTCTTTCATTGAGTATGAATTGTGGCACGTTTTGCACCATCTGTGTAATACACATTTTACAAAAATCTCAGGATGCAAGTTAGGATGGCATCATCGTATCCTGCCTCAATTTAGAAGCCTAATAATAATCCTTAAATACTTAGAAACTCAGATAAGCTATTTGAATTCAGTTGGATCAGAACCTACCTGTCCTCTTCAGAACCCCAATGCAGTAGGTTTCATCTTATTGAGAAAGGATCACACCATCGTATTGTGTAAAATCTATCACTAAGTAATGAATTCCAAACTTAAGACATTTATGATTGTGTAGCATAGAATAGTGAACTTCACCAAGTCAGCATTCTTTCCTGGTGGCTTGACCATTCAAACAGGATTTATATTCCTTTTTCACATCATTTTTTTTATTGAAACTAATATGAAAAGTGCAATATATATACACATAGTATTTGCTATATATCACATGCTATATATATATATATGTAGCATTTGATCTAGCACTTTACATTACTGAAACATCACAAAGCCCGTCACAGGAATTTGTTACAATGTGTAGACTGTCGGTGAACATGGCAACCGATCTGTGTAATAATAATCTTTGCATTTGATACAGTGCTTTTCAAGTCTTCTAGACATCTCAAAGCACTTCAGACTATACTGTAAGGTGAAAACAAAACATAAAATACTGCAGATGCTGGAAATCTTCACTTTATTGTAAAGTGAATTGACTGTATATTTGTGGGCGAAACGTGGCAGCAAATTGTGCACAGCAGTGTCCCACAAACAGTTGTGGATTGAGTGAACACATTATTGTTTTTTTGAGGTATTATCATCTCTGGAAAAGCAATCTGCCAATCAACTAACAACCGGATTCCTACTTACTGCTAAGGTAAACAGAACCGTGTAAAGTAAGGAAACTTGCCCAACATTTCGCCCTGCCGGGAATCAAACCCAGGGATCTCGCTTGCAAGGCGAGTGCTCTAACCACTCAGCAACAGGGCTCTGCAATTGTAACAATGTCCTAGAAACCTCTTATGAAGTGAATAAGATGAAACTTACTGCATTATAGTTCTGAAGATAACATCGTCTCTTCAAGATACTCAGAATGATAAACAAAATCAGATATTCATTTGAACTTAGCTGTGATGGGCAATATGTAACGCTCTCAGCTTGGAATCTGAAGGTTTATTGAAATTTAAGCAAAAATAACCATTGGCACACTTAGTTTTAAAAGCATTTAATGACATCGCACATTTTTAACAGATAGAGTAGAAGTCTACAGGTGCAATTCCATACAACTGAAAGCCAGATCCTGTACTACATGACTACAGGCCCAGTCATTGCAAGGATTCATTCCTATTATGTATCTTGATTGTGCAGTAAGATGACATTTTCATTACAATAGTTACAGTGACAGAAATGCACACTATGTATCAAATAGTAAGTAATGTAGCAAAATTATGACACGCAGTGCTGTAGCCAACAAGCAAGTAACCATTTGAATGACATTACTTTTCCAGATAATGCTTTCCCACTTCAACACTTAACATCAATGCTTTGAAAGGTTTTAATATACATCTAGTTTTATACTTTGTACTAGAATTATTTGAAACATACAGTATAATGCAACTGAGCAACAAAAAAGGAATATGTTAAAAAATACAGATTATTTAAAAGTGAATCAGTATACTAATTCATTCTTATTTACCAACATTCTTTAATCACCCTTGCTGCATGAACACCAAACGGGTTTTAATATCCACTGCCAGCCTATCAGGATTTTCTTTTTAAAAAAATGCAAATTAATGCAGGTTTGCAATTTGTTATAGCAAAGATGATACAATATACTTTTGTTTTTAAATAAAGCCTAAAATGGTAATGGGAGTTTCTACTAGTCAAGACTCAGCATAGCAACCTCAGTAAATGGAATTTAACAAGTATTTTGGAAATTTACACATTTCATGTGCAGTTAAGTTTTCAAAAGCACCGCTGCCTTGCATTCCAGTAGCACATGGATGTTGAGATTTATTTTTCCCCAAGACAGCCTCACAAAATTGAGGAGAAGTTTAGATACTTGGACCCTAAACTACATACAAATCAACAACTGGTCCTTTTCTTAAATGGAAACTGCCCAATGCACCTCACGTTCTAGATTAACAACCGATCTTCGATGCTCTCCATAAATTAAAACTAACTGATTTGAGGGACATTAGGCACGGAGTGTAATGTACTGGTTCTAAACTCTCATGCTAGAGTTTTGTTTGAAAATGAGTGCTGAGCTTGTCTATTTCTTCTTGCCAAACAGACTGAATCTCTTCTCTTTGTCTTTTTCCTTGTCCTTCTCCCGTTTTCCAGGGCTGGATTCACTGCTCAGAACAACACTCGCGGGCAGTGTCTGTGCACGACTGGCCACTGGAGTGCTCTGACTACTTGGGGAAGCCTCACTCTTATCAGAAGACACGGCTGAAGAAATAGCTTGAATCCAAGTGTTCATTTCCTCCTATTTGAATAAAAAGCAGTTATATTAAAACAATTTCCATCTCAATATTTTATCCATCTCTTCAACAATGCCTAATTGAAGTGTACACTAAATGCAGGAATGGTTGCGTGCATTTGGTGAAAATAATGCACCATCAAAAATAATTTGCATTTATACAGAATAGGATAATATCTCAGAGTGATTTACAAAGACGGGATTGGCACCAAGCAAGGGAGAGGAGGAGGACTTAGGGGAGGTGCATATAAGCGCGTTCAAAGAGAAATCACAAAAAATTTGTAAAATACATTGACAACATAATATGAAACATCACAGCAACTCAAAAGAATGATACAAACAGCTAATTCAAATTATGAACAATCTACAGGACAAGGTCACAGTCATTTATTAAACTTACATCATCTTTGGCTTGGAAGAGATATTCGTTGCCATCACTTAACCTGTGTTTAAAAAAATAAAAAGATGCACATTATATGCAAATGTTACTTATTTCCAGCCTGTACACTTTTTACAGGATGTAACCAATCTGAGTTTTACTTAGGTATTTCTACATTTGGTAGCAAGTTGCTGCATACTCACAAGATACTCATTTTTTTTTGGTCACATTTGGCTTCTGACATTTATTTCAATATGTAATACATGCTCACCACATTAACTAATTAATATTATTCACATCATATATTAAATATTTTAAATTATTGCTTTTCTTGAAAGTTGCTTTTACCACTATTTTACTTTTTTTAAATTAATTGTTTCTTAAAAAAATGTACTTTCCAATAGAAGGTGCAACTACTTATTCCAACTTTTTAAAAACATGGGATGAACAAAACTACGTACAAATACTATCTTGAAGCTCTTTTATTAAATATATTCTATTCATGGAAAGGGGTTGAGCATTATACATACCCTTGTATTAAGTTCACAGGGTTTCTAAATACTTCAACTTTAGGAACAAATCAGTTACTGCAGAAAATACATTTTACACTTATATAACTCCTTTCATATCAGGGGGAAGTATCAAAGGGTTCAAATCAGCCCAATAAAAAAAGCCAAGATCAGAAACATTTTGTAGGATAAATAAACAAATCCAGCCCAAATGAAGAAGTGAAGAAAACCTGCTACTTATTATGTTTCTTCCATTTCTGCCTCAAGTGACACTTGAGCATTTTTCAGCAGATGCCACATTTGGAGCTTTCAGAACGGCCGTAGGCAATTCCCTGACCGAAAAGTGACCAGCCAACGCTGCTTTTCATCAGACATTAAAAAAAGCAGATAACCTTGCTTTTTCCTGGGAAACTCTTTTTACCTCCACTGTGCAACTTCCTAGGTGGCAGGCTGAGATCAGGAGCTCAGAATAAATTTGTGTGCCACTGATACCTGGAACAGTGGGCTGCTACAACACACTGTGCCCCTCCGTTGCCAGGGCAGGCAGTTGAATTAGCAGCATTTATAAATCTGCTATTGAGACGCTGACATGGCAGGCAATAGTTGGTGTTTGCAAGAGGACACAAAAAAGCAAGCAGTGAGTCATATATTCTGGTGACTAAGTGCTCTGAGACGCCGTCCGGCGTGGAGGGCGCTATATAAATGTAAGCTGTTGTTGTTGGGTGAAGTATGACAATCTCAATTCCTTATAACAAAAGTAGGATCACTTAGTCCATACTGTTCGACAATGAGGATAATGAAAAGTCAGATAATGGAGGAGTTAATATCATTAACATCGTCAAGGATGCCAAACATGAGTCCCGTGGGCCAGCTATGGCCCAACATGAGTCCCGTGGGCCAGCTATGGCTACTCCTGCAGTTTTGTCCGTCTCATCAGAGAAAAAAATGACTGATGGCCTGAAGCTGGTGAAACAATATTGGCAAAAGAATCAGAGGAGACAATTTTTTTTACACAGTGAATTGTTATGATCTGGAATACACTACCTGAAAGGGTGGTTGAAGCAGATTCAATAATAAATTTCAAAGGGGAATAGCATAGAGCGTTAGTCAGACCCCAACTGGAGTACAGCATTCAGTTTTAGGCACACTGCAGGAAAGATATATTGGCCCTGGAGGGGTTGCAACGCAGGTTCACCAGCATGTTACCAGGCCTAAAAGGGTTGTTACGAGGAAAGGCTGCGTAAACTTGGAGTGTATTCCCTGAGTTTAGAAGGTTGAGGGGTGATTTGATTGAGGTATTTAAGATGCTAAAGGGATTCGATAGGATAGATACAGAGAAGCTATTTCCTCTGGTGGGGAATCCAAAACAAGGGGACATAGTCTTAAAATTAGAACCAGGTCATTTAAGAGTGAAATCAGGAAGCATTTTTTACTCAAAGGGGGGTAGAAATCTGGAATTCTATGATTCTATAATATAATTATTTGTACATAGATGCTATGTGCAACATTTGCACCTCTTAATAACCTCGTATATGCAGTTTTGTACAACTTGATTTTTGCTGCAGCAAAGGTAGATTTTAATATTTGTACCCTGCAGTACAAGAACCTCTTAAAGAAATGTCCCTATGATATTCCCAATAGTCTTGATCTATGCAAATCTAATCCTATCTGCTTTGTGGAGGATGTGAGAGTGAAGTATGGCCTTCAAGGGTTTAACTGCACAGTATGATTCAACAATAAAAGTCTTTGTGGGTTATGCCATTGATCCAAAACTGAGCACCTAAGTCTACAAATTCTTATTTTTTTTTGAGAACATAAACTGGTGGAAAATTAATTCAACACAGAATGAATATGTTTTTTTGTTATTGTAGGTCATGGGAATATTCTCTCTGTGCTTCTTTTATTTAACAGGGGTTTTATTAAATAGCAGAAGTATATTGTACGAAAATAGAAAGTTTGACTGGTTTCCAAATGGATGTGGGCAGCGTTAAACTCACATGGTAGATTCAGCATAAAAATGAAGAGACACGATAGAAGGCACTTACTTTAGTTTGAAAACATGCTTCTTTTTCTTATAGTCAATTGCTATTTCACACAGGGCTTCCTTCAGGCTGATTGGGATCTCGCCATGGTATGTGATACCTGAACTGGCATTCTTAGCATCTTTATAGAAGCCCATCTCATGGTTATTTATCACAGAATATACATTATGCCAAGACCTGAAAGATGAAAGCAGAGTAAATTTGACATGAATGGTTGCAGGGCTCCATTTCCTATGTGATGTACAGAACACAGATACATTTGTAAACAAACCACAGGGATGAAATATTGTTGAGTTTTACACCTGAATACTTTACTTTGCATTGAGAATATAGATTGAAAAGTGATTAAGCAGTAAAGCCTATTATTTAGTATAGCCAGCAAGAATAACACCCTTCATTTCTCCCTTAATCTGCACGTTTATATTCCTCATAATAATTTAAGAAAATCTCGCTTAAGCAACTGAGCTCAAAAAGTGCACTACTGTATATAAAGAATCACTCCTAAACAAAAAAAGTTTGTTTTTTTAAAATAGCTAATACCTTTTCAAACCCTACAAGACCAAGTATTACAGCTAACATACTTACATTCAGACTCAAGTATTCTTGTACGAACCAAGTATAAAAGCCTAGGAACTGTGCTGTAGGAACCAAGTATAAAAGCCTAGTAAATTTACATAAATAATGTGAGCATAAAGCTCAAATGTGTTCAATTTGCAACAGCTTTCAGTCCCATAGAAGTATGATCTCAGTCATGTTGATAAGCACCAAATGAAATCTAATTACACTGTACCTTCCTTATCCCCTCCAAATCTGGGACGAACAAAGAAAACTGAATCAAACAGGCAGTGGCATAATCTTGCACGATTCCTAACTGTTAGATCAGGATAAAGTAAAGCCTGGATTCAAGCAGCTTTGCAGAAAAGTGATTATTGGAGATTGGATATTGACAAGCTACCTGCTGGATGCTTTCTTGTTGTGGGTTTCCCATTCGTGCTTGCGATGCAGAAAACCTTCCATCTGTGCTGTGGGGTTTTCTTGTGACTTGGCCGGCAAAGTAGCAGCAGACTGGGACTGCAAAGGCGAGGTCTTTGTTTTACGGTCAGAAGTTGGTGAAGGTGCTGGGCTTTGCTCTTTTGAACTGGTCCTCTGTTCCGTGGCTCCATTCACCATCTCACTGGTCTCAATCGTCTCCGATAGCTGCATTCAACAGAAGACACAATCAGCACTCAAATCTATTCCACAATAAAACTGAAGCAAACTCTCAAAAGTCGCAAAATCAAGCACGTTTACACCAGAGGCTAATAAAATCTTCATGCTTTTACAATTACAGTTTCACATATTAGCAGTATGTTCAGTGGATGTAGTAACATTACAGTGGCAAGTTAATAGTTTTAGAAATGCATAATAATGGCTCAGTGGGATATTGCACGGTATAGCATAGTACCGAGTCATACAAGCCAGAAAGATCTTTGCTTTGATCCCTTGTGTTGTGCTGATTAGCTGTCAGCAGGGGTGGGGCAGAGAACACACAACAACTTGTCTCAGAATCCCCACACTAGGGAGAAAAACAAAAGGGCAGGGTTCCTACTCCTGATCAGCATCACAAAATCTCTGTTGGGACTGCACTATGACAGAGATTGGGTAAGGACGGGAACAGGCTGTAGAAGGCCCATGATTCAACCTGGGATCACACATCAATAACAGCCACATGAGTAAGCTACCACAGGGTTCCCAGCACCTGCACTAGTGCACCGCACCACGACTCAAGTCTTGAGAGGCAGTCGGTACTGGGAGAGAAAACAAAATCAGAAGGAAAATTTGAATAACGATCCTTGCTTGAGAACTCTTAACTCAGTAAATTAACTCTTGAAAGAATCCTGTCTGGGGGTATGAACAAAACTAACTCCTGTGGCTTTTAAGGAAGTTGTGTCTAGGATGTACACCAGCGCTTAACCACGAAAAAAAGACTCATTTATTCCAACGCAATAGAATTCACCCAATGACAGACTAATCACGCAGCAGATCTAACAGTGACCCAGACCAGGTAAACTGTTAATTATGTGTATGAAACAAGCATAAACAAAGTCTCTTGCTCTGATAAAGATGAAGTCCTGTAGAGAGGTTAGTAAAAGACTGAGTATTCGTGCATTATCTTGTTATTTTTGGATAGATGGGCTAAAATTAGAATTGTATTCGGATGCCTTGTTCCCTGCAAGTGGCAATCTGAAGGTCACCCAATTTGACTGAAATGTGTGTTTTGACGACACATCGCTGGGAGACTGCAGCTCTACTGACGTTCAAGCCAAGTAAAATTCACCAGTACAATCAACATCCCTTTTCATATTGAAATCAGAAACATTCATTACTGCGGGTATTAAATTCTGCTGCCCTCATTTCAGCACCAGTAAAAGGATGCGTTTCCTCAAATAAATCAGAGCACATTCAATCCGTGAAAAGTGGCTCGAGGGAGGTCTCCGTGCAGATGTCAAGCTAGTGACAGTTTAGACTGTGGACCAAAATCCCATGCATGGGAGCAAACGTAGGTGAATAGAAAAAGAATAATCTTGCAATAATCCACTCAGTTGAATTGCTCCTGCAATTCATAAATCAGTCTCAATGGGCTTTGCTTATGCTTGTTCATTCATTTCAATTAAGGCACAATTCAGAGCATGCAGAAATGTCACCCTTCAAAGATTGCTTCATGCAGAGTAGCACCACTTCCCAGATTTAGTGATTTCTACAGTATTTCGCTAAAGTAGACAAGCCTCAATGCATTTTAAAGTGAAGCGATTGTCACTTTAAAGTTTATTGATTATTATGGATTTGTTAAATTGTAAAAAAAAAGCCAAGAATCAGGAAAGCCACTCCAAACCAATAGTTATTTACCCCCAAAACACAGACAGACCCCAAGGCCTTGCTCATCACTCGCTGTGCCGGTCACGGTGCTTGTTGCAGTGATCCTGACAACCTAGAGAACGGTCAAGGTTCCTGCAGCTCTAGCTGGGTGGGAAAGGTGTCTTCAGAATCCAGTCATCCAGATTATCTGAATTCTAATTCCGGTGGATTTAGTCACAGAAAAGCAGATCGCTCTTGGTTCTTGGTCTATCGATACGTTTCTCTTATTTTTCTCAGTCGAGTTGCAAGGTGGATGCAGCTCTTGACTGGTCCATGAAGACCAGCACATAATTAGAGATCTGCTACAGCTCGACAGTTCATTGGTGCTTCAACTTTTTAAAACAAAATCTAACGTGCACATCTATTGAGCAGATGTGGTGACAACTCACACCAATAATAATGGAATAAAGCCACAGAAAAGCCTGATTGTTTATTATGCCAAGAGCAGCGGCTGTGTGTGACTCCTCAGATCATGTGAATCGCATTGTGACTTGAATGTAACCAATTGTCTCTGCTAACACTTCTAAACCTACTCTGTTTATCATTTTACTTTCAGCCAAAACATAAAATCATTGCACTCTGCAGTAAAATCCTGCGAAACTCTTTGAGACGTAATAAGCCCTTATATCAAATGCTAGGACTGTATCACATGTAATTAGATTATAGGATTCTACTTGGTAGCTATCTAAACTATTCGAGTAACTTCAACTTTACATTTCCAACTTTTTTTGTAAGAATAGGAAAGAAAAAATTTGCTGTTTTGTTGTCACCCCCATTTTCTAGTGAGGTCACATTCCGCATCTGCTCTACACTAAATCGTTTTAAATGTTACATATGTCACTTATGAACCATCTCAAAACTATCCCTGGATTTATTTGCCTGTGATCAATATCCAGACATTTTCATAAACTACTTGACTGTATAATACCACTCTAGGAATAAACCCTTTAAATTTTGAAAGGTTTGGCATATAACAATCGCTGGGCTTCACGTAAAGTAATAACTGAAAGTGCAAAGCCGTATTAAGTTGCTCATTAGCAAAATAAACCCATTAAAACAAAATACATTTAAATAAACACATTATCCTCTTAAGTTAACTTGCAGCTGAAAAGGTTTCATATCAAGGCACACTGTTCGTCCTTAAAATGTTTTCCTGGACTGGGCTTTAATTGCGCATATACTGCAAATCTTTTCCCAGTCACCTTTTAACTCTACAAGTGTTCCACTGAAGAAGTTATACAACAAAATACTTTGGCAACACAGATGATATGATAACTCAAGTTGACACATCTGAAATATGCTAACTTAAGCTGCTTGACAAATGGGGTGGGTATTAACGAGAGACATAAACAACAGCAGGAGCTGTTGAGACACAGGACGAACACATCAAACAAGTGTTAGTAAATTCAGTGATCCTGTGTACAGATTCAAGAGGCAAGCAGATAAGGCTGAGACCAAAACTTACAAATGCAATTTAATAGCAGGACTTTTTTCTATATCTTGACACGCTCTCTAAACAAAGTGCTTCATAAAGTGGGCAGGTTAAACAAAAAGGATTACTCAGGGGGAAATGTTTGTCCACAATTCACAGCTGTGAATATTTCTCATTATTGTGATCCGTAGCCTCTAATGGATCAAAATTTACTCGAGCAAAACTTAGAAAAACCTTCAAAACAAAGGCAAAATTTAGGTTGAGAGAAAAGTATGTGTAGAAAAGAAGAGATGATTATGACAATATTCTTCTTCAAACACATCAACACAAAGTTAATAACAAAGAAAAACATTTAAGTGCAATGTAAACTTTAATAATTAAACCTGAAAACATGCTAAATGCATGCAGAAAAATAAACAGCTAACACGATTATGAAGACACATGAACAACAAAGAGCTTGAGTTACAACAGAACCAAACAATGATCGGCAGACGAGCTCCATTATCCTCCATGTAACTGTGGATTAGTAGCTACAATTTAATGCTTGATTAAATGACAATCAACATTGTGACAACTGAACTGAAATGAACAAACATGCAAACGAGAATAATCTGCTACCCCAGGTGAAGATGTACGCACTGCTGATTTCCTCCCCACCTCCAATTAAGTTGGTCTGATGACGTTTTTTTTAAAAAAATCTTAAGAGACAAAGTAACCTTCAACTGGATGGGTCTAACTTAAAATCCAGTGTGCAATTTTACTTAAACGGAACCCATAAAAGCGGATAAATCATGTTCGCCATAGTCTGCGCTGCTCACAAAAATCTTTGCCCTCAAACCAGGTAGAGGGAGTCAATTTAAGATAGGTAGCAAACAAGAAAATGGTGAGATTAGGAGAAATTGTTTCATATACAGAGTAGTTAGGATATGGATGCCCTGCCACCTACCGGGAGGGGTGGTTTGAGGTAGAATCCACATTAGCTTTCACAAGAGAACAAGATAAATACTTAAAAAGGAGCAAAACTACACGGGTATGGATAAAGGGCAGCTAAACAAGCCTGAAAGGATTGCTCTTAAAAGAGCCTGTGCAGATATGATGTGCCGAATGGCCTTCATCTGTGCTGCAAACGTCTATCGTTCTATGGGTAACTTCTTAGAAGGATTTTTTTAAATGAAAGCTTTTACAACAAATTGAAACCATTCTGGGAAAGAAGGTGAAGCTTTATTAACGGAAAGCTCAATACCCTTATTTTACCGTTTTACTGAACAAAATGAGAGAGCTGAGATGTCGTCACAAGTTATATCGTAACCAGAATTTACAGGCTTGAGCCTAGATCAGTTATTAAAAACATCCAATACATTGGTGGTCAGTTATCATTCAGTGCTTCACAAAGCATTCACCAGAGCAGTGTATTCTAGTACTGGAATACACCAGCACCTTGGGATGTCTTCCCGACGTGAAAAGCGCTATACAAATCTAATTTTATATTGTACTGTATACAGCCCATCAGGAGCAGTGTGTATATGTGCAAAAAAAACCACAAAATAAGATTAATGTTCCAACAGTAAGCAGTGCAAGTTACACTGCAACTAAAGATATCAAAGTATATATGATTAGCAAAAAGTCAACGAAAATACTGAATTTAATTCAAACCAGATTGTCGGAAAGTGCCAGTTGTGTTCAGTACGTTAACTATTCCGCAACATGTGGAAAACTAATCTGAGTGCTCACACAGTAACACCATGTTTACAAAAACGTACCAAACTCACTACGACCACAGAAAAAAAATGTGCACAACCTTTAAGTCAGCTGTAATTATCTAACATCAGCTTTCATAAAAGGTTTACATCCGTAATGCTGTACTACTGGGTTGAAATAAATACATTAATGGCCATGGCATACGTTTTAGTGATGTAAATGTGTTGCCAATAGACTAGGCTATTAGTATGCAGACAAGGGCCTTGGTAACACTTGACCAAAAATTACTGACTTGAGTTAAAATAAAAATGCAAGTCATTTGTTAGCTTGCCACTAATGACCAACTATATTTCCCAGTTTATGTATTCTTGTTACTTTAGAAGTGAGGTAATGCCAATATCTCATCTTTGCCCGTTTTACATTTCCTATATACTAGCTTTTATTACTTAATAAGAAAGCTCATCCGTCTGTGAATAGTTTGGGTTTAGTTTGCCTTATGTCAGGAGTTGGAGCTCAAAGTCCACACTGGCACTTCAGTGCAAGGCTGGGAAAGTTCTGTATTGTGTTGCAGTCTTTCAGATGATGTTAAACTGAAGCCATGCCTGCCTGATTGAGTTAAAGATTCAAAAATTCAAGTGAGTTTTGCCTCGATGTCCTGGTCAACAATCCTCCAGATTTGTTGGTCATTTACCTCATGGCTGTTTGTAGACAAAAGGCCTTTTTGTTAGCCCATTTTGGGGCTCGTTGCTCACTCCTTTTAATTATATTTTTAAAACATAATTTTTTTTTAAACCAGCGTTTATTTCAAATTGCTTTTACAATGAAGTGGAAAAGCAAAACCCAGCATTTCCCTGATTTCTGCACTGACTGGGAATCAACATACTCTTTTCTTAGCAGACAATCCCTTTATATTTTTAAAAAGCGTGAAATAAATAAGGGAATTTTCCTGCTGGGGAGAGGCAATATATTAAAGAGTAGAAGTGTTGCTTTGAGTCTTTCTTTGGCTCAGTATCTATATCTTAAGAGCTCAATGTACATTACGGCAGCGGGGTCTGGCTGGGCATGTGGAGTAGCCACAAGAATCTTAACTAATACCAACCTTCAATGTGACAAGCCACAAATAAAAATTAAACTCAGCATCTCACGCTTCATCAAGTAATGCTCATAACTACAGTTCCTGCAAATTTCCCTCCCAGTATTCCTTTACGTAATAACAGACGAGTGATCATTAAAGTTACGGGCAATAAGGAGTTGCCTTGTCTAGTGTCTTATAAGATCTCTCCCACGAGTTAACATGTAATTTATAATAGATGAACTTTAGTTTAAAGTCCTTCACTTAGTCCCAGACACACTTTTTACACAATGAAATGTGCAAATAAACAAACTTACAAACCTCCCTAGTCCACCTCCATTAAATATCCAACTCTACACATAAGGAATCAATTTTAAACACTCTACTCTCTGAAAAACTGTACATTTGTAACAGTTTCAACCATTTTCCTTGTTGGAAAGAAAGCTGTTCCAACCACATCAGTAACCTTTACTTTTGTCTGAATGAAAGCTTTACTCTTTTAAGAGGATTCACAAAAAAGTGCACTTTTAGTGGGAGATGAAAATAAAACCCCAAGGTTAATGATCATCTATGTCTATTTGTTTCCCGGTAATTCTATTTGGACAAGGCATTTGGTTAATCTTTCATCACCAGAGTGCAAGTTTTTTTTAAACAGTTTCTGAAGTTCTCCTGATAGACTCACTGCCAAAATAATTAGGTAATTGTTAAGACGTAACTGAATACCAGAAGCAGTGCGTGTGCTAGATCAGGACGGATAATCCCCAACCCTGGTAAGTATTCCAGGTAGGGAACAAGGCAGGAGAATTGCAGCTGGTTAATAAAAAGCAGCAGGGAAATGGGAGTGAGCGTGAGGGTTAGTTTCTGAAGGCGCATTTATTTCCGCTGTGTGTAACTGGGTTGGATTTCACAATCCTGATCGGGACCATTCACTGCCAGTCCGTCGGTTCTGAAAGCTTCTGTAGGATTGGTAGGTTTGGGAGCGGTAACTAACCCGAGGGGATTCCTGGTCTGATGGTAACCCATTCTGAGAGATTTGTTCTTCTCTGGCCATTTCCCTGCAAAACAGAAAGGTAAAGCATTGGTTACGAATCAGGTGATGAGATCTGTTCGAGTCTTGCAAGGGCGTTTTACCTCTACCCAGTTTTAAGAAGCTACATAACTGTGTAATGGACAATGCAGCTAATGGCGTTACACAAATGCAATTTTTTTGTTGTTGTTTTAATTTCTACTGGCAACAGCGATTGGGCCATCTGGTTGGTGTGTGGTACAAGATGACTAACCTGTTATTCATTGAGGAGTCACAGAGAGCAGGAGTCATAGAGGACAGATTTTATTTTTTAACAACACATCCCAAACATATGATTAATTTCACATCTGCCTTAAGTGCTGGTTCCCGACACCCTGATAGTTCCAGCGTGTCAGCCTAGCTCACACCTCGCCTCTAAGTCAGAAGGTTGTGGGTTCGATCTCCAAGTTGGCACTTTGAACTTCCAATCTAAACTGACACTCCAGTGGGTGCTGGAGCTGCGCTGTATTGTTGGGAGGTGCTGTCACATTCAACCTGCAAATGCAGTCTTCTCAGAACATCCTGTAAAGTGCTTTGAGCATCCTCCTGATATGAAAGCAGCTTATATGAAATGCAGAGATTATTATTATTATTACCACTGTTGTGGAGATTCCGAATCGTCTGAAGGCTGAGGTTGTGGTGATGGCTGTCTCTTCCGCTCTTCCTCTTCCTGTCTCCTACGTACTTCAAGCAATTCCAGCTGTAGGGACACAGAACGCAAGACTGATGTTTGCGTGACTTCGACTAATGAACAATACTTTTATCTAAAAGTATTAATATGCCAATTTGCTCAATTTGTTTTAGGGCTAATCAGGAACATAATAAAGTTCAGAATGACTTGTTGGTGCCAAACCTTTGAATCAACATGAAAATATTGCCAAACAGTAACGGGTGCACTTCCATTACAAACTTGTTCCCCCAAGGCTGATGAATGTATTGAGTTTGAAGTTTTGGCCAAGATTTGTTTTGCAAAATGATTAAACTAACATTTCAGAACTTGTCCTGAATGTATGGTACTGTAAAGAGGCAGGAAAAGACCATTCAAGGACACTTGTTCAAAACCAATGCCTAAATGAACACAATAATAGTAAAATGATATTAATTTCATAAAATGTAAAGGTAAATAATATCCTTTACTTGGTGTTACTATACAAACGTACTTTTGTTGTTATGAATCTCAATGTAAATTCAGGTGCATTCAGAACATTAAAATACAATCTTAAAAAATGGTTATTTATTAGGGATTTGTCTTTCAACTGACTCATGTGCAATATAAATAACGGCATTGAATAGTTGGACCAAATGGCCTGTTTCAGTGATGTATATTCTATGTAAATTAGAATTGAAAGTATTGGAATTGGAGATTGAACTATTGAAAGAAATAAATGCTTACGGTCGTCAACCTCTCCAAAGCTGAAAATCTCTCGTCCCATGTAGCTGCCGATTTCTCAAACGCTTCATGCCTCTTTATTAGCTTCTCCACCTCGTCCACACTCTGACCCAGCTCCCGACTGGACAGGTATGGCTCCTGGCCCATGAGCCAAGCTTCTGCCACACCTGCATCTCTGGCAAACTGGTGCACTTCCAAAACTGAAGGGGCACAGAACACAATGCTGCAGTTTATGCAGGTATTTCACATCGGAAAGCAAACAGAACAAATTCCAAAGAGGAGGATTTCGGGCAACTTTAAGCTCATTGAAACACAGGTTACAAAACTAATACGTCAAATGGTCATGGAGAAAAGCAAAATAGTTTGGTTTTAAAGTTCCTTGAAAGAACCCAACAATCAAATGGTTGAAGAATAATATACCATTGAGTGTGTGTGTCTATCTGTGGGGGGGGGATTTTCTGGTGAGCGTAACGCCAATTGCTTTAAGCGACGTTGGTCACGCAAGGGATTTGCCATTATAATTGCAAATCACCAAAAGAGCTGCACGTCATGTTCACTGACATTTTCCACAATTCTGGCAAATATGGAATGAGCAGGAGAGTAAAATTAAATTAGATTGGCTCATGTTGAGAAAACCACCGATGTCGACTGATTGGACTGAATGGCAAGGTTTTTGTGCTGTAACACTATATGATTCTATATGCTTGTTATGTTGTGTTAATGCGTAGTAGTCATAGCACAGAGACTATTTACCTAGTCTGAGCCATTCCCATCTGTCCTCCCACTTGTCAATCATTTCTTTCCTTTTGTCCGTTAGCTGCAACAACTTCTCCTTAATCTATACAGAAACAAGAGTTCATTTTATCAAAGGTTGGGTAAACCAAAATACCCTTTATTTTCTTGAATGCAGTGCTGGAGATGTGCTGCATGGTCAGACATCCCGTCTGACCTTTCAGGTCCCACATCACAATTTGAAAGAGAAGGGAATTCCTCCTGGTGTTCTGGCCAATAACTCTTAAGGGAAAATCATTCACATACAAATACACAATCTGCAAAAAGGTTTCACAAAGCGTTTTTAAGCAAGTAATTCGCGAAACTGGAACTCTTAAGTTATTCGGTAAATTAGCAATTTATTCAAAAAGTTTATTTTACGAGGTTACGAATCAAAGTTTAACTTGTGGTATTTCTTAGCAGGAATCGCTTAAAATTCGAGTCACACAGATGACATTCCTTCCAGCAACAAGTGCATCAAGATAATCTATCGAAACTCTGTCCTTATGAGATGGATTCTTGGTGTGTGAAGCAGAGCCCTGTTATAGCACAAGGTGTGGAGCATTGAAAATTCCCCGTTACAAATAGCAAATCCCATGATTACAATGTTTAATTGAAAGTCTTGTGCCAAGAAAGGAAGCATTACCTCTTCTGATGCGTAGTGCTTTCTTGCCAGGAGAGACTTGCCAAGTTCAATGCACGTTGTGAAACTATCGTTTCGGGCATCTATTTCAGCCTTTATGCCCTGGTGATTGTTCATTAGTAATTCCACCGATGAAACATCTCTGAAAGTGCAACGGAGTATTTACATTAGTCAGTTGTTATTAAATAAAAACCACAATTCATTCAGTATAGAATGTCAAAAAAAAAATAGAACAAATTGACCGCCAATATCATTTGCTTGCTCTGTTACAATCGATATCCTCTAGTCACCAGAAAGCGATTTCTGTCTCTTTCATTTCAGAGGTGACAATACTTTAATTTGTACCTGGGTTTCTCCTGGGTCTCAATCTGTCGAATGACGTCTTCCATCCAAAGCATGAGATCCCGCACCATGCTGAAGAAGCGGAACTTGTCACCAGTGTCGAACAGCTTAGCCCTGCGACCTTCACAGGCATCGAGCAGCGCTTTCCATGCCTCTAACACATCTGCTTCTCGCTTCTGAATGTCATCAGCCTTGTCCCCTGCATAAGCAGCCTGGAGCCGAGATGCATCCTCCTGCAGCTGTCTTACCTGTAAAGCAGCCACAAGTCAGCACTGAGATACAATTTCATCCAAGTTCTCTCCGGCTCTGATAAATTTATTGGATAATTCTCCTTATTGCTGGCAATATCGCTAACCTAGCAGCTGAAGGAGAACTAAGTTACTCGATGGGGTCTGTCTTATTCTGATCCTTGAAAGTGGCTGTCTGGTTTTATTGATTCTTACAAGGGACAGGTATGCACTCCAGTTATTAGAAAGAATCTCCCATTTGCGCAATTTAGATTCCGCATTAAGGAACGCCATCGTGCAATACTGCAGTTTAGACTAGATCAATCTTACAATCATTTGGAATTTATTATCAAGATTACCGCAAGTTATTACAGACCCAAAATAAATCTCTTTTGGTCATCGTTCACTTCCCCACCTCCTCTCGGTCCCCAGCTCCAGCTCAGGTGCACATCCAGGAATGTGAAGCGCTATGTAACGACCTCCCGACATGGTATCAATGTAAATTGCATTGTAGTTCAGACTCAAGGTTCTTGCTTACATTAAGCAGCGATCTTGAAGCACTAAGCAAGCGCAGACCTGGAACTTCCTAAGGCTGAGCCATGGAGATAGCAAATCTACAGCTACATTGAAGGGACATGGCAACAAAACAAAACTCAAAACCATAATCGTCTCTTTTTTTTGTCTTTGGTCAATATTGGTCCAGCGTTAAGGGTTAAGGGTATCTGCTGATCTACCTGAGTGCCAAGAGCCTGGATGTCATGCTCAAATGTAGTGTGCATTCTCTGGAGCGTTTCCACGGTGTTCTGATCTCGGCCCAGCTCCTCTGGAAGCTTCTTGTGTTTGTCCTGGATGCGCCCGAGGATCTCCTTTGCATCGTGGTAGAATTTGTGCAGTTCGTAAGAGGCCGCCAGGATCTGTGTTCTGGTGTCGATGAGCTCCAGGAGATCCGCCCAGGCTTCGTTCAGCCCATCCTTCCACTCGGCAATTGTGGCAGCGTCCGAGTGTCCGGAATTGATCAGCTCATCGGCCATGTGGTTCACACTGTCCACACGCTCCTGGCCGATGTTCCCGGTGTCTCGGGCAAATTCCCGGAACCTCTCCTGCAGCATCTGAAAAGAAATGTTCCTCATTTTTAAACCCCCAAAAATGGGAGGAATTTGGCAGCCAGTTCAAACTCACCACACTTCATTGAAGACAAAACCCTGGCTGTGTTACCTTGCCACCAGACGGATTTCGCCCACAAAATATGCAGTCACTACACTTTACAGTGTATCCCATGAAGCGCTTTGAGACGACTCAATAACGTGATAAAACACTAAATCTATTGCAAGGATTGTTATTATTTTTGGACTACATTTCAATTAAAAAAAACTCAACTATTTTGCTACACCTTTAGGAGCTTGTTTCTCCTGTTTTGGACAGAAGGACAAGAACATCACAGCCAATGGAGAAGGATGAAGGAAAATGGTGCTGTGTGAATTTTGACCATCAAAAGGACAAACCAGGGTGTTGCTGGTGTACAGGAAGGAAGGCAGTAAAATAGGATCTAAAGGGCTGCTCTTGTGTACTCGTGAGACATCACTAGTAGTAACCTAGGACTTAGCTGACTCTCCTTCCCAGGGGCCCAGATGTGAAATGGCTTGTCCCCATAGATGGGAGTTTACACAACTTCCAATGACGTTTGTTCCAGTACTTATAACTGCATTTTAAGGCAACCCGACCTTAATAGGCATTTGTGATAATCAACTTTGACATGTTCCCAAATGTCTGTTGTTGGTTGTCTGAAGCAGTTTTGAGTCAGACATCCTCCCGACATGAAAGGTGCTATATTAATGTAAACCATTGTTGTTGCAGTCGCCTCGGGCCACGTTCATAGTGTTTGGGTATTATTGATAATTCCATCTGAAACAGATTTGTTTTTACAATGCAAGACTCAAACATATGAAACTCGGGTGCTCAAACATCTGCTTCTCCCCACTGGTCTTAAAACACTGGCACAGAAAAACCTTATACAATTGGCACATACTCTACTGATAGAGAAAAGGCGAGTTAAAATATTTCGCAAACAACTTCAAGCTATGAATCAGTAGAGAAGCTAAAATGTCTAGCCCTATTCAAATTAGTATTCACTTCAGTGAACAGAACAACGGCCAACTGTGAAAAAAACAAACGACTTCAAAAGGAACATTCCTTCACAAATAAGATCCAGATATTAAAATCCCCTAATCCAGCAATTTGGAAGGAAGCGGACATTAAAATAATGACACTTGTACACGTGTGGAATAGTTTGCCGAGTAATAATGTGATTCTCAAGCAGGGCAAAACCATAGGCAAGTTTCCTCACTCCACACGCCTCTGTTTACCTAGCAGTAAGCAAGAACCCGGTTGTTAGTTGATTGGTGGATCGCTCATCTGGGGGAAATAATCCCTTAAAAAATAAATAAATAATAATTTGGTCACTCGATCCACGATCGTTTGTGGGACACTGCTGTGCCCAATTGGCTGCTGAGTTTCGCCCACAAAATATACAATCAAATCACTTTACAGTATATCCTGTAAAACGTTTTGAGACGTCTCAATGATATAAGACGCTATATCAAATGCAAGGATTATTATTATATATTATACAGCAACCAACCACCTGCCATCTCTCTGGATTTTCATTAGCGGCAGGAACATTCAGTGGCAATGGTACAATGTAGCCAGTCTAGTGTGGAACATCCAGCAGTGTTTATATTTTTTTAAAATCAAGAACAGGAAGCAACGTTGAGTAAGTTTGACTCGGACACAAAATTACAAGCATGACGGATTTTTGTGTTGCGTGTGTAAAAGAGCAGGGGCGAACTTACAGTCACATGTTCATAGTCCTGTCCAAGCTCGTGCGATCCCGCCACCACTTCCCGTTCAGCGATCCACTGCTCCAAGTCATCCACCTCCCGGTTCAGCTGGAAGAGCCGGTACCTCTCATCCAACTTCCCTCTCCTCTCTTCGGCCAAGTCTTTCAGGCCAGCATACAGCTTGTCCACCTGGGACTGCCTCATGCTGATGCGTTCACTACATCAACGGAAAACAACAGATGGTGTCAGGGACCTGGTTTGTTATCAACAGAGCGGTTTTGTATTGTTTCAAAAAAGAAAAGCTATAAATCACCCCCCGCATTACACCCCCCACCCCCCCACCCCGCAGAACAACAAGTGAGTCAGAGTCCTGGTGGCAAGGAACCCAGCTCTCACTGCAGGCATTTCTACACAGAAGAAAGCAAAAACGATTGAAAGCATATGGCGCACTGCCAGCCCATCAGAGGTACAAGAGCCTTGTCTAGCCGGTCTCTTACTGCTCCGCAGGCCCATGGAATTTCATGCTGTTTTTTTTTAATAATCTCATTAACATCACAACCCAGTGTGTGATCTCGCTGCGACAGCTTTGTGTATTTGTGTATTAAATCCGCTGCGAGTACACTCGCTCTCTTCACGTCTGCGAGGCCTCAATCCGAGAACGCCAGCGAGGGAAATGGGAGTTGATTTGAGTTAATTGTGTGTAAAAGTGACGAGGCTCCATAGGTTTAAACCTCAGGAGGCGAGAGATAGGAGGGAGGGTACTTTGATTATGGGAGTTTGAACTGTATGTAAAAAAAACCCACAAACTTATAAAAGACAAGTCACCTAACATTCTGAGCATCCATTCGCCTGAGGCAATCTTGGACCAGAGGGAGTGCGGGGGGGGAGGGGGGGTCTTGTGAATTGGCGTGATGTAAACATGAGGTTTAGCTACAGAAGGTTCGCTTTGTGTGCTGAGCTGCTTTGTTTGGTGCCGGCGCTACTTACACTGTGGTAACTCCCGTCCGAGCGTTTTTGTTTTCAACTCGGCGACCGAGCAAAACGAAGACTGTCCCAAATTCCCAAGTCAAACTTTAATGCAATACCTAGGAGAGCACTGACCTCTCGGGGTGTCCGTCCGCAACCAGAGCTCTGCTGGTCTTTGAGAGCTGGTGTACGGTTTCAGCATAATCTTCCACTGCCTGCTCCAGAATCTGGTGTTTCTTCAACATGGTGACTGCACTCTGCTCATCCTGCAAAAGCAGCAAATTTATTCGCTCGTTGGAAGCAGTTCAATAAGATTTCGGGTCTCTTTAAAAACAAACCTCAAGAGAAACCTTTGGCGCAATGGTGCAAACTTCTGCAAGGTATTAAACCAGGAAAGCATAAAATGTTTGCTGCAGTCCCTTCACCGCGCTGAATGCATTAGCTTTGCTAATTACAACTACCGTGACCTGTGAGGGAGGGCTGCTTACATGTGAATGGAGCTTCTCTAAACATGTTCAGTGAGGATAGGGAAAGGAGGAGGAGTAAGTGACAAACACTGACAATAAAGGGCAGCTTGTCACCAGCGCTTTGCTGTTTGTTCTTCACCAAGAAGCTTTGGACGTTGGGGTGGGTGGAGGGGAAATTAGAACGGTCACCATATAGCAGCCGAGTTTCAGCTTTATAATTTTTTTTTCTAGATGCAAATTACCCAAAAATAAAAAGCTGCTGGTGTATTTTGTGAGGCAGAGCTCCCACACAACACACAGTATATTCTGTGAAGCGCTTTGAGACATCCTCCCGATGTGAAAGGCGTAATACCAAATGTAAGGCTTATGATTGTTGTTATTATCTCAACCTCAGTATTCTGCCAACTTTATTAAACAAAAACACTAGGGTTTAACTTCATAGAGATTGCTTGGCAAAAACACCCCATTTGGACGGTACTCCCAATTTCCCACAGATTCCCATCAAGTCTAGATGACTCTCCGCTTGGGTTGCGGTGAGATTAACATACGGTCACTTGTGAAGTGATTTTAAACAACTTTTTTTGCCCAAATTAAAATCGATCCAAGGACTCTTTGTTTTATCTTTTGCAATCCTTTTTTTAAAAAACTGGAAGTGCACTTTCGCAAATGTTACAGTGAAACAAAATAACAACATGTAACATTATTTCATATCAACCTTGGCCTTCTCCTCCGACATCATGTACAACTCCTGCTCACTCATCCAGGCCTCAGCCTCCGCGGCATCAAAGTAGTATTGCTGGGCTTTGTGTGACTCCACCAGTCTTCTGTGGCGTTTCTCTGTCTCTTCAGACAATAATTTCCAAAGCTCTTGTAGGTCCGTTAATCTCTGCTGAATAGCGTTAGCACTCGGGGTGCTGGCCGTCACCATACTTTGGCTTCTCTCGAGTACGTCGTCAATACGGGGTTTGTGGCCCTGAATTTCCTTTTGAAGAGTCTAGGTGGGGGAGGAAAAACGGACATGAGTAATGTTAGCATAATAGGCTTAGTACACGCTTCCACTTAAATACACCAGGAAGTCTCTGGCCAACATTCCCCCCCAATTAGAATTGGTCACTCACTTCATGGCTGTTTGTGGGTCACTGCTTGTGCACAAACTGGCTGCCGCTATTTGTCGACAGTCACTACATTTCACAGTAAAATCCTGTGAATCACTTCGAGATATCTTGATGACAGCCTTTTAGAACAGAGTTGAGGAAACATTTCTTCACTCACAGGGTAGTGAATTTATGGAATTCACTATCCCAGAAGGTTGTAGATGCTCAGTCCTTGAACATTTTCCTTGATAGATTTTTTAAAAATAGAGGGATTAGGGGATATGGGGATAGGGCAGGTAATTAGAGTTAGGTCAGAAGATCAGCCATGATCTTATTGAATGGCGGGGCAGGCTCCAGGGGCCGAATGGCCTACTCCTAATTCTTATGATTAGCCGCTATACCAAATGCAGGGGATTGTTATATTGCATCAATTTTGTCTCTTTCGCAAAAAGGGTTTCATGTGTATCAGAGGTGGCCAACTTTTTTCCCCATCAGCCAACAAAATAATTTTTCTTGATGGAATATTTCCTGATTTAAGCTGATAAATATCCTGATAAATATGCGAATGTTTTTTTCGGGGGTGTTTCTAAATGGCCTCGTGGATCATGGATTGGTCCTCACTGATCTATATGTTGAAAATAATGAAGTGTCGAGGATTTTGATTTACTTCCACACCTGAGAAATTGCATGCGAGGCGTTTCGATAAGCAACAATGAACAACCCACATTTTCAAAATTCCCACCCTAGTCACCTGGTTTTTTTTGATCAGCATCTGCACAGTCTGGAGGTTGTGGCCATGATCTGTCGAGCTGGCGAGGGGCATTCGTTCCTCAGCCCACAACTGAAAGACACACATAGGTACAGAGATTCACGGGACCATCACAATATATACATATGGAAGCAATGATGAATTGAACGGAGGAAGGATCTGGGTTGTACAGGACATCTCTGTTCAGGCAAAGTTTGAGTATGGATTCGTTTGCAGGGTTGAGCAATTTATTAGGCTAATTCTCTGAAGGCTGATACATTTACTGACCTTGTCTGTGCGAGATTCTAACAGCCACTACACACAGCTGTTTGTGGGACATTGCTGTGTACAGATTGGCTGCCACTTTTCCCTACAAAATACACAGTCATTGCGCTTTGAGACGTCCTCCCGATGTGAAACCCGCTGTATCAACTGCAAGGATTAATTCTACTGCGAACCCTATACGTTACTGACCTTCAGAGAATCAGCCCAATTGTTGAGCCAACAAACCTGCAAGACAACCCTTGAGGGATCATTGGCCTGTCATGTACACATCAAAGATGCTTCCCCACCTCCCCTCGCACACCCAATGAAAAGTGTAATAAATAATTCAAGGGCAAATTTAATCTCTTTCACTTCCCAAATGGCTGCTTGATCAGAATACTGATTCTTAATTTTACTGCTTTCCTTTCAATAAATACGATCTTCTCAGGGTAAACGTTTGCTTTTGGTTACATTGCTTTCACAATTATTAGCAAGGAGACACCGCATTCCAGGCACATTTGAAGCTTGCACAACTGTGCTAAATGACCAGACTCCTGTTGGCGTTCTCAAATCCACTGCGCTACCGGGGACTTCAGCTATCGTTTACCCAACAGATTCTACCTCGGTCTCAACATTCTCAGCACACCCAAGAGTAATCCTCTGTCGCGGCCCACAAATGCTGAAAAAACAGTTAAGACATTTATAAACCGAGACGTAAATTGCTCTTCACCCCATTTCTCACTTACAATCTCATCCTCCAGATCTCTGTTGAATTGGTGGATTTCTTTAGATGCCAGCAAGTGGTTCTTCCTTTGCTGCAGGGGTTCCAGTAGCTGTAAGAATCGTTCTTCCACAATTTCATGCTTGGTATCCACCTCATCGGTTCCATTCGCTTCCTGGCTGAGAACCCTAGCCTGACCCTGCAGCTCCTCCACCTCCTTCTTCCGCACTTCGATCTGATTTTCTAGCAGCTAAAGGGGAAACAGTCGCTTTAGAGGTTGACAAACAGCTGACAAAGCGTTTTGCCCACAAAATATACAGTCAATTCGCTTTACAGGAAATTCTGTGAAGCGCATTGAGGAGTCTCAATAATATGTTAAGCCACTATATCAATGGCAAGGATTATTATTATTATATAACCGCAAGTACTGCACAGTACTTCACGTGGTCTGCAATCCGCTAACGGAGGGACCCGGAAACGAGACAAAATCTTAACTGCGCGGCTTTCATTATGTTTTGTACAGCGTTGTTTGCACCATGTGAATTTGGATGCATTTCAGGTGAATCGTTTTCATGATCACTCCTAAGGTACGCACGGACCCCTTGCTTGAGGTCAGGACTTTGGACAAAGAGTGCATCACCAAAATGGGCTAACTTTGCAGATGGTCCAATTTATGCTGCTCATCATTGGACACTGATGTGCGCAAATTGGCTGCCTACAAATACAATATCAGTATACTTTACAGAACAATCCTGTGAAGTTTCAATGACATATCACGCATAGGGTGATATTAAATGCAAGGATTATTATGAATGCATTCCACATTACTCAAAGGGACATCAGACTATTATTTGAAACACGGGAAAAAGCACTGGTCTCCTACAAGGACCTTATCAAGTAACTCTTTAACAAGAGGCCAAGCAAACGCATAAGTAGAATTTAAGACGGCCAGAGAAATGAGGGGAGGTAAACAGCTGACCCTTGTAATCTGTCTTACACAACTCAAGCCATTTTGAGTCGATTTTTGGAAATTTCTTCCAAGTTTACGGTCAAAATCACACAACGACCGAAATGGGTCCTGTCAACGTACCTGTTGTTTTTTGAGTAGAATGGAAACACTGGTGAGGTCCTTGCCATAGTCATCGGACTGGAGTTGACCTTCCAGGTTGTTCATCCACTTGTCCAGGTCAGCGCAGCTTTGGGTGAAAAGCTCCGCTTTGTTGGCGTCAAACAGGCGCTGGGCTTTGGCCTGTGTTGTAGATTCCAGTTCCTCCCACATTTGGTGCAGAGCTGTCAGCTTCTCTTTCACCACCACCCCAGTATCTGGCTTCTCTGCAGTCAGCTGCATTCCCTCCTACAGAAACAAACAACGCACACAACTCAGCAATCCTCAGCAGTCTTGATTTCATGGAAGACACTTTGCGCAGCTGGAAGGCGCCAAAAACACACAAGCATTATTATTAATTTCATCTTCCACTCAAGAAATCTGCGTATAAGAAAAGAAAGCATCTATCTTTACAGTACTAATTGAGGTGCTGCATTGCCTAGAGGCCAATGTTTATATGTAAAAAAATTATGTAGAAGCCACGAATTGTCAAAACAGCTATGATAAAGGCTGATACGCTCATAACAGAAAGGAGAATGATGCACACTTCCAATCTTAGGATGGCCACTGGAGGGAGCCACTGAAAATAAGCTGAAATTTCTCATTCACTCACTGGGAGACGTTGAGAACAACAACATTACATTTGTATAGCGCCTTTCACATCGGGAGGATTTCCCAAGGCGCTGGACAGAAGGACAAACTAACACCTTCAGCTTGTACATTGTCCAGCAGTTGCTCTGAAAGGATTGGCAGAGGTTTTAGCAGAGGTTGCCCTCCCCGTTCTGGTTTTAGCAATGGAACGAGGGTTTTGAGGAAAGAACACAGAAAGGAACAAAACTGTTAATTTAATTTAATTTCCTTTTGTTGCCTTTTACTCTTTGTAATCTATTCCTGTTTTACTTGCCCGGGCTCAAATACCAAAGGCAATGGAGGGTTTCAAGTGCAATGCTCACATACCACATTTTTCAAGAAACTGTGACTTACGGTTTACGAATAATTGATTGTGAAATTGACAACTAGAGTCATGAATGAGGAATTACTAATCCCAACCCGGCCAAGTCCGTCAGGCAAAACATAAGTGAATATCTGCATTTTAGTCCTGTAATATATGATTACTACAATGCACAATAAATTTTTACGCACTTTGAGATGCCTTCCTAACAATAAAGGTGCCATATAAATGTTAATTGTACTGTAATGTAAAATCTATGTAGCGTTTTTCACGCATCGAGTTGTTCGAATCTGGAATGCATTGCCCGAAAGGGTGGTCGAGGCCGATTCGATAACTACTTTTAAAAATGCGGTGGACGGGTATTTGAGGAGGACGGGTTTGCAGGGTTATGGGGAAAGGGCTGGGAAGTGGGATTGACATTAATTGCTCTATTCAAAGAGCTGGAACAAACTTGATGGGCCGAATGGCCTCTTTTTGTGCTGTACGATTCTATGATTTGATAACAACATGATAAAACTCAAATGCAAGGGTTACTATCAGATTATTATTATAAGACACAATGTCTCATTTTAGTTGAAGAGTCAAACAAATGCATTTCACCTAACAGTCACATTGTTGAGCAAACTGAAAAGATAAACCTCTCCAAACACAAATGGAAGGAAACCAGGCTTGCGTCTCTCAAGCATTGCAATACAGGCAGAAACGTACCTTGTCAATTTTATCCAGCCATTCTTTATTTGATGCAAGCTCCGCCATGAAAGCCTGATGCTTCTGCCATTTGCTGTGCAAGTTTCTAGCTTCATCGTAGGACATATCCTGAGCAGTGAGCATCTTCTCACTGATCCACAGGGACAGCTGCAAACCAAGTAAAGATTTAAGGCCAGCAAGCCGCAAGGTTTCTTATCCCCAACAATAGCCCAAGATAAAACACTACGGGGAAGCAAAACAGCAGTGTATACGGTGCATCGTGCTAGAAAAAGCACCTTGGGATGTGAAAAGTGTCTCTTGTAGGGAACTCAAGTGCCACATTGACTCATGACCCAAGAGTGTGTTGGAGCTGAGAATTTGGGACATACGTGGGCATCTCCACCAGAGATGAAGCCCTGAGGTGCTTGTTCCAGAACCAGGCTTTATGAACTTTATGCTACCATATGCACGCTTCCAGCATTTTTTTAAAAAAAATAAGCCAACAGGATTTATTTGGGTAAAAAATGATGCTTACTTCCTGACAGTCCTGGAGGAATTTCTGAAGGTCTCGGTTGTCTTTCAGACGCATGAGGAGCTCACTAGCAGCGTCACGGTTCTTTCGATGTCTGTCCGGGTAAAAAAAAAAATCACATTTCTGCGTTAGATCTATTTGAAAAGATATTCGGAGTACCCTCTAAACAAAAAAAAAGATTTAAAATCACCCGTCCCTTGTAATACATGTGAAGTCTTCAGCTCTCTCTTTGAATGTGCCGACGAAATAGAAAAAGGCCATTTGCACAACACAAGTGGCTTGGCGAGGGCATTAAAAACAAAGCTGCAAAGCTGACTGTTCAGAGTTCCCTCGCTAATAAATGACCGACTTAAGAGTCATCAGGTCATTTCTTATGTGCTTCACACAATCACATCTGAGACACACAGCGCACACGTGCAGCATGTAGGAAGTGGTGTTAACAATGACCTGACGATCGGCCATTTCCCCATGTTCAGTTACAAAGACTGACCGTTAGTTCACAAGCTATTTGTACCTTTTGTCGATGGAGTCCACTTTTTCCTGGATTTTGTCCGAATAGATGTTGCCATCACTCACTAATCTCCTGCCCGTCTCCACGACTCCATTGATCTTATCTTCATTGGCATCCATTGTGGTCATGGAGTCCTCCTGCTTCTTTATAGCAGCTTCAGCAGCCTCCAGAGTGGTGGGCATCTCGGTGTGCGCCAGCACGTATTCCTTTGTTGTAATGGAAATACAGAACACAGAGGAGAGGAACCGTCAGTTAAACATTGCAGTTAGAACTTCGATTAGCAGCCAGAAATCATTTCAAATGGGTCACTGATTTGGACCCAACATGTGTTGAAAATTGACCCTCCAGTGACCCAAGCCTGCAGATATAAGTGTACATTGTGCCCATTCTTCTACCCTTTCACTCATAGACTGGGCCAGCTCCCAAAAGCTACTGGCTCCAATCTCAACTCTAATAACTCTGGTCCAAGTAATAAAATAACAAACAATTTCCTTGTGGATATCTAGATTATGAACACATTGTTTTTCCTATTTGTACATTACATCCATTTTTGATCTCCTATGCCCCATCCCCCAACTTCTTCTCAAAGTTCTATTTTTCTGTGATGGGATTTACTTAAAAGACTGATACTTATTACTGATAATAGTAGTGGTTCCCAATAAATAAGTATCAAGTGCCATTCACCAAACCACAAGTTATCTGAACAAAACGATACTGCCCCACGATCTAGTGATGGGTGACAGACCCGAAGAAAAGTTAATTTTTTTACAGGTGTTTTCAACATTTTAGATTTCCGCCTGATTAAATAGGAGGGGAAAATTTCACAATGTAGCAAATGTAGGGCGTTTCTGCCCACCTATTCAGTATCAGAAGTTACCGATTTGGAGAAAAGGGGAACCAGGGCTTAAAATACAAACCGGAAGTCATAAGCTGGTAAGAGTTTTAGCTGACCTGGTTGTTGAGGAATCCCTCCGCTTGCTTGGTGTCTCTTAGGAACAGCTGGTAGGAATGGGACTGGGACAGGTGGCTCTGTCGGTTCTCCCACATTTTGTGCAGTTCGTTCCATCCGGTGTCCAAAGCCTGTAGGCGCTGACGCAGGAACATGTACTGTGCGTCGGTCTGGCCCTGAGTGACCATTTCTCCCATGTCGCGCATCTTCTGGTAATCTTCCTCGTAGTTATTGATCTCGTTCTTGATGTTCTCATGCTGTGTCAGCAGCTTCTCAGCTTCGGCCAGGGTGTTGGGCATATCCTCAGAGGCGATGGCCGTCTGGGTTTTGGACAGCCAAGACTGGAAGTCGTCCAGATCCCGTAGGAACTGCTGCAGCTTGTTAGCCTCGCCCAGCGACTCTTCTCGGTTCTTCAAGGTGCTCTTCATCTCTTCCCAGACGTCGTTGATTTCGGCAAGTCGGCTCATGATAGCTTTGGCTTGGTCGGGGTGTTCAGCAGCGAGGCTCTCGGATTCTTTCTGCAGGTCCTCCAGTTTGGCTTCGATGGCCGCCAGATCGCGTTCCATTCCAGTTAATTTCCTCTGGAGAGCCATGACGCCAGCCAGGTCATTCCCCAGATCCTGTGTGGACTCGATGACTTTGGTCTTCTCCCGGATCCAAGACTTTGTTTCGTTGCATTCCAGGTGGTAGTTCTGAATGCTGAGTGCAGAATTGAGTGCATCTTTCTTTTGGTCCACCAATTGACGGAACTGACTCCATCTGAAATCACATCAGTAATGTTTAAAATCATATAGTCAGGCAGGCTATTGCTGGGATATATTTATTGGAGCTTAGTTCTTAGTCTCTTTCCACCCTTGCAGTTTAAGTATTATCATGAGAAGAACTAGAATCGTATTACGTGCTCATTTTAAGGTCACCAGCTACTCTACCGTTATGTAAAATTACACATAATGTTAATTTCATGAATCTATCAAATATAAGGCAAAGTATAAATTTTGGAACAATGCAATTTCAATGACGGTCAGATTATTACTGGATAAAAGTGCAAAAGACTGAAAACATTTATCATTCATTGAATCCACCGATAGTCACTCTGGCGGGTACCACCCAAGTAACCAAATTAGTTCTATTTCCTCCACAGTAGTGGTTGGTCATAACCACACAAACCTTCATGGTTCCGTGTAGTGTTAAAACAAATCCTGAAACACTGCCGAACTACATGTGTTAAAGCTTCTGTGCAACCATCCATGTAGACATTAATACTTCAGAAGAAAGAACTCCACTTGACCACTGCATAGAAAATACTGATCTCACAAAACCATCTGCAGTCTCCACTATGCACACACTTCCCACATTCCTAAATAATTACTCTCAAAGAAAAGTATAGTTTTGGTTTGCCATTTCACGTAGGTGTTAATGCATTCTTTTCATGCCACAGCTAAGATACAAATTTCCAATTTTCACTGGACACTTTTAAATTAACACCATGTTTTCACAATTGGAAATGCAGAATGATAGCCAACAAAAAGTTGGAATGCAACGTGGAAATATTGTACATCACTCTATTGCGCATACAGCAACTTAAAGGCAAACAACTTCGGGAGCACGTAAAACAGAAATCTATGTAGAATTCTTGTGTTTGTTGGCGGTATTGTTGGAAGATGATCCTACTCATTTCCTAGTTACTAAATATCACGAGTATAAAACAATTCAATCTTGAATGTTAAGATGATGCAGAATTGTGAAAACTTCATTTAAAAGCCAGTTTATTTTTAAGAACTGTGGAAAACTGGTTCTCATAATAAGACTAAATTTAAGAATTTTCTAGATTTCTAGAATTCTTGTTTAGAACTCTTAGATTTTAAGAGAGAATTTTTATTTTTAAAGTACATTTGAAGAAAAACCACGGTCTTGCAAACTAGCTGCAATTCTGGGCCTGAGATGTTCACTCTAAATGCGGTGATCTTTACGTTAGATCTTTACAATGAAATTTCACATGAGAGGCAAAAGCAAACTGCTATTTTTGGCAATGAACATATGATAGAAAATGCTGGGAAAGAACAAGATCATGCTGCGTTGCACTGAAAAACTGTACAGTCCACAGAATGGAGCGGCAGCGGGGAATCCACTTATCCGGCAAAATGTCAAACAGGAGCCAAAAAGTGGCCTTTAAACAATACAACAACATATGCACACTCTGGTCAGCTAAATATACTTGCAATCCTTTCATCACACAATATCTAATGTCTAAAGCTATGCAAGTGCAAAAGACAGAATCTGCTCTCTGTAAAATATCACTCATCGGTTTGCACCATATCAGGCAGCTGGGGAACAAAAAGTAATAACTCTTTAGTAAAAAAGTCAACAAACACACAGTCCTTAGACTGTACATTACTCACAGGGGTGTGTAATTAACTGTGTGTGGGTTTATCCCACCAGACTTCACCAGGGCAGGGCGTAGGCTAGACAATGGTTAACTATAAGCACTCTGCTTCAATAATGGATCTGGTCTGGATTTGCCAACTAAAGTTTTAAATTGGGCTAATATTTTTCAGCTGAACTCTGGGATCAAAATGTGCAGATTGGCTGCTATAATGTCACACACATGTGATGCAGTCTTTGTTTGCTCTAGTCATTGGCAGAGTGCCTGAGCCCTTTTGCTAATTTCCACTGAAGAATGGGACATTATCTCATCGTTTAGGCAATTTGTTTTTGGGAAGGGGCAGGGGGGGAAAGAGGAGAAAGGGGGATTTCCTGTCTCCTTTAGCTAGTCTTGGACAATTCCTGGGAGAACAGGCAGGTGCACCACTTTCTAAAGATCAGCCATCGTTTCTCTTACACCAGCAGGAAAGTGATGTGTGAGCGCGGCCCCAGGGTAACACATATTCAACCTCAACTGTCTGTGGCTGTGCCATGACCTTGCTCCACACCCATCACTCACAAAATACTTTGGGGGGTTCAGTAGGTTTCTGTGAGAAGACAAAATAAACATCTCCTCCATGGCACAATACATGAGGGGTTGAGGGAATAGAGAGGGGATTGGGGGGGGAAGAGACTCCTGTAGAGTGTGAATGCCAGCATGGACTAGTTGAACCAAATGTCCTGTTTCCGTGCTGTAATTCTACGTAATACATGGCACCACATCCTGTACGGTTTAAAAGTAATTTTGATATTGCTGGAATTGATTTAGATTTCAAGATGATTTTTAAAAAATGTCTTAAGAAAACAATGAGGAGCAAACTACTCTGCTGGTTTGTGGACACCCTCCAAGTTGTGCTGCACCTGTGTAAGACATCAGACGCACAGAATGTAAACAGACAACATTCTCACTGAAACATAGATCTCAGAAGCCAAATATTTTGCAGGCACCAGAGTGCCCTGGCTGCAGTGGAGGGCTATTATTATGTTAAGCATCAGAGGTAACTAACTGCAGGAATAATTAAGGTGCAGCCTCTGTTTTATTCCTTAAACACAACCCTTGACATTTTAAAAATAAGGGACAAGAGTCAGCAAATTCACATAATTACATAGAACGATTACCGAGAGAGAAATGAGCCAAAGGCGATTTACAATTTCCCACCCAAGTGAGGAAGGCTTGGTAAATTTAATTTTCATTTTGTTGCAATCTTGTTGTAAAATGCATCCTGCAAGTGTGGTCACTATTGGCGCATCCTACTTACAAATATAGCATTCTTTACCTGGTGGGTGTTTAAACTATTCCCAATTGTGAGACGACCTCTTCGAACAGCCATGCACACAATTGTTTACATATTATACAACACTTACTGCAGTCAAACATTATATGTTTACCCTGAGAACCTACTATTGTGTGGTTTATTTCCCCCCAAAATCCAAAAAATGTAAGACTAAAAACTAAATTTTTAGTCCTACATTTTAAACCAGCAGGTTTTTCAAACAGAAAACCATGTTGGAATGTTATAAGCAAAAGTTCCTGAAGATATATATCCTGCGCTGATCAATTAAGATAGTTCCATCACTGTTTTAAGACAAGCTGCTACTGGCATCTTTCATAATGGGATACATTTTGCAGTATGATATTTCTTAAGTAATTTTTGTTTATGCGTGCTTTATTTTAAAAAACATGACACTAGCGGGGGTCTGAAAAAGCACCTTGTGTTTAGCTTATCTTGCTGTGCTTTGATTTGCTTCTCGCTTGGATGCTCGTTGTGGATGAGTTGGCGAGCGATCTGGTTCACCACGGCTGTACGGGAAGCTTGGTTGTTCATCTCTGGGTCGAGGCTTTCAAACCTGCCGTGGAAAGATCGTCTTTTTAATACAGGCAAGTCAGAAACTAGCGGGCATCAATATAAGATACAATACAAAATTACATTTATATAGTGCCTCTCAAGTCAGGAGGATGTACCAAGGCACTGGACAGTTAAGAATTTGGACACAAATGGGGGTGGGGGGGATAAATTAGTACAAGCAAATAGGGAGGTTAGGAGAATTTTTTTCACGAACATATTAGATAGGATATGCAGGGAGCGGAAGTTGAGGCAAAATCCATATTGACCTTCAAGAGGGAACTAGACAGGTACCTTTAAAAAAATGTCAGCTGCAGGGATATGGGGAAAGGGCAGGTAGCTGGGACTAATTGGATGTCTCTTTCCAAAGAGCCAGATGGCGCAAAGGCCTTCTTCTCTGCTGTAAATTTCCATGGTTTTACATAAGAAATATACAACAACAACAACAAGATTCCATTTATTGAGCGCCTTTCACGTCGGGAGGACGTCCCAAGGCGCTGTACAGTTGGGTCAGGACCCGAGCAGGGGGGAAATGGTCAGGGTGAGGGGAGGGAAGGGAGGGAGCGAGGAGGGGGTAGAGAGTCGAGAGGGGAGCTGAAGGCACGGTCAAAGAGAAAGGTCTTGAGACCGGCCTTGAAGGAGGAAAGGGAGGAGGCAGCGAAGGCACTGGGGGATAGAGTTCCAGAGCCTCGGGGCTGAGAGGCTGAAGGCCCGGCCACCGATGGTAGGGCGGTTGGGGCGGGGGATGTGGAGCAGACCGGAGCCAGAGAAACGGAGGGTACGGGCAGGTAGGTAGGGGGATAGTAGGTCGGAGAGGTAGGAGGGAGCAAGGCCGTGAATGGCCTTGTAGGTGAGGGTGAGGATCTTGAATTCGATCCTCTGGGGGATGGGGAGCCAGTGGAGGTGAGCGAGGGTGGGAGTGATGTGGTCGCGAAGCCTGGTGCGGGACAGTACACGAGCTGCAGAGTTCTGAATGACCTGCAGCTTGTGGAGGGAGATGCCGGGAAGGCCGGCGAGGAGAGAGTTCCCATAGTCCAGCCTTGAGGTGATAAAGGCGTGGACCAGAGTTTTAGCAGCGTGAGGGGTGAGGTAGTGCCGTAGTCTGGCGATGTTCCGGAGGTGATGGAAGGCGGTGCCAGTTGTGGTGCGGATGTGAGGGAGAAAGGACAGCTCAGGGTCGAACAGAACGCCGAGGTTCCTGACTGGCTTTGAGAGGTGGAGAGTGCAGTGCAGCCTTGGATTCTGATGCTGTCAGCGCCTGAGGTGCGGAGGCGCTGATGTGAGCCAATCAGGAGGGCCTCGGTTTTTCGCACGTTGAGCTGGAGAAAGTTGTCTCTCGTCCAGGACTCGATGTCGGACAGGCAGCTGTCAGGACATCGGTGGTCGTGGAGTTGAGGGTAGAGGAGGAAAGGTAGAGTTGGGTGTCATCCGCATACATGTGGAAGTTAACCCCATGTCTGCGGATGATGTCACCAAGGGGGAGCATATAGAGGGTGAAGAGGAGGGGACCGAGGACAGAGCCTTGAGGGACACCGCACGAGACAGTGTGGGGGCCGGAGGAAAAACCATTTGTGGAGACAAAGTGAAGACGGTGGGAGAGGTACGACCTAAACCACTCAAGGACAGGGCCTTGAAGGTTTAGGTGGGAGGTCAAGCGGTGGAGGAGGATAGCATGGTCGACCGTATCGAATGCTGCCGATAGGTCGAGGAGGACGAGGAGGCAGAGGGAGCCCTGGTCACAGATGGTCAGGATGTCATTGGTGACCTTGACCAGGGCAGTTTCTGTGCTATGGGCAGCGCGGAAACCCGACTGAAGGGGTTCGAATAGTGAATGGTTGGAGAGGAAAGAGCGCAGCTGGGAGGTGACAACTCGTTCCAGGACCTTGGATAGGAAGGGGAGGTTTATATACATATATATTATGTATATAAACTATGAACCGGAAGCAAGCAGGGCCATTGGATCAGAAGAAGGATTTCATAATTCTTAAAGGAAAAACAGATAGCAAAGTTTCCCCTTCGCACTCCACCACTTTTTACCTGTGCTGGATGACCTCGAGATCTTCCAGTTTCTCTGGGATCTGCGTGCTGTTTAACCACTGCTCCTTCTCGACGATCCATAAATCGCAAGCATCTGCCTCGCTGAACATCTTATACTGGGAGAGCGCGTCCTGGAGCGCCTGCTTACGGAGTCGGGCCAGCTCCGCCACCTCTTGGTAACGCTCGTCGATGTCCGCCAGCCTCTCCTGCATATCAGGCGAGTACTCTTCGGGCAGGCTCTGGCCCTGCTCCCGCAGCGCGTCAATGATCTGCCTGTAGCTGCTGATCTCCTCCCCCACGTCCTTGTGCTTCTTGACCAGGGCCTGTGTGGAGTACTCATCGTGGCCCACGTCGTTGCTGGAGACGATCCTCAGGACATCGATCATCCACACGTCGATGTCGTCACCATCAGCCTTGAACTGGTTCACGTTGGCTGCCTCCTCCAGTCGCTTCTTGCGGACGGCAGACAGCTCCTCCAGGTTGGCCCACTGTGCACGGATGTCCGCGATACGCTCCTTGATCTTCTCGGAGCCGAAGTGCTCCTCGGCCACCATGGCCTCGCCCTCCTTCACCGTCTGCTGCAGAGGTCCCCGTCGCCCACTCATCTCGTCCTCGAAGGCCTTGTGCTTGCTGAGCAGCCGCATCACGCTGGTCAGGTCCTTGCCGCAGTCGTCCGACGAGAGGATCTGCTCTTTCTCCCGGATCCAGCTCTCCTCCTCCGCCATCTCCCAGAAGAACTTCCAGAGACGCCGCGACTCCTCCAAGCGAGCCCTTCGTTCGGCCGCCAGCTGGCAGAGCTCCTGATAACAGAATTCCAGGTGGGTCACACGATCGCAGATAACCTGCGGGTCACAAGGTTTGTAACCTGGAGAGAAAAGCAGAGAGAGAAATGTGCATTAGTGCTTTATTAACGAAGAACAATAATAATAATGATCCTTGCATGTGATATAGCGCCTTATCGCGTCGTTGAGAAGTCTCAAAGCGCTTCACAGAAATATACTGTAAAGTGAATTGACTGCGCATTTTGTGGCTGAAACGCAGCAGCCAATTGTGCACAGCAGTGTCCCACAAACAGTTGTGGATTAAGTGACCACTTTCTTTTTGGGTGTGGGGGGGATTATTACTGACAGAAAGCGATCCACCAATCTTCTAAGAATTGGGTTCCTATTTACTGATAGGTAAACAAAGGCATGTGGAGGGAACGTGCCTAAAGATTTGCACCGCCTGGGAATCGAACCCACGTCTTCTCGCTTGCGAGGTGACTGCGCTGACAGATAAAGGACGATTTAACAATTTGATGGCACTATTTTTAAAAAAACAAAACAGCAGCCTCCATTTATAGATGCATTCAGGAGGGAGCTGGACCTTCACATGAAGGAGAGGAGTATAGAAGGGTATGGGAGAGAGTAAGGAGTGGGTGGAGTGTAAACACTGGCACAGACCAGTTGGGCCGAGTGGCCTGTTTCCGAGTGGCCTGTTTGCGTGCTGTACATTCTTTGTGAATATTACCATAAACTTCTTGGTGACTGGTTTCTAAATTGAAATGTCCCACTGATAATGGTAAATTCTATTCTCCCTGTCACCCCAAGCTATGCACTGAGATAGAACTTGTGACAATCCCCATCCAAGGTCCTGAAGCCAGTCAACCATCTTGTAGTGTCCCCACTCCTATCCTGGATGAGAATAGTTAAAGCAGTGTGATCTTTTGAGTCAGAGGTCTCAGGCTCAAGGCCACTTGTCCTCACTAAGCAATTAGGGCCATCTGCTTATAAGGCTTTATTGAAAGGTTTGAGAGAGAATTGAATGGTAGGCAAAATACCTTCTCCGTCAGAAGCAAATTTCTGAGCAGAAGCGTTGACAACTCTCACTCTCTCAGCCTGAATGGCGATGTCAGCCTCCACCAGAGCATGTTTCTGCAGCAGATCTTCGACACCAAGTAAGTGCTTCCCATAATCTTGAGACAGCAATAGGACCTATGTGCGACAACCAGTTTCAACAGTTGGTTTTGTTCATATAAAGTTGTGGCGGCACATATAGTAGGAACACCAAGAGCATTGGGACACATGGAATAATAAGCAAACTGAAACAGGGGTGGGAAGGTTAAAAAAAAATCTGATGTTATCTGTGCAAACAATACAAGAATTCTATTGTGTTTCTTAATAGGTTTTCATATCAAAATAACTGTGCTTTTTTGCTCCTTCCCTCCCTTACCCCTCTTCCCTCAACCCCACGATTTAATATCCCACGTACTCCCCTGCTCACCTTCATCTCATCCATCCAGTCCATAATATACAGCATTTCCTGGAAAATCTTCTGTAAGTTGAGGTTCATCTCCAAGCGATGGCGTCGAGCCCGGAGCAATTCCAGTAAATATTCCCACAGTCTGTATACGTTCTCCTTCCTTGCTGTGATGCGCTTAATGTCATGGTAGTTCTCAGCTTCCAGCTCCTTGGCCACAGCCATCACCGCCTGGACCCTCTCTTCATAGGCAGCGATGTCCGTCTCAATAGCCTCATGCTTCTTGGTGGCAGCCTCCACAGCTGGCAGATCAAATCCAAAATTATCCTGTAGCACAAGAGATTGTAAGCAGACGTCAGTGTGTGCGAGGTTCGAAAATGCCTAAAGAGATTATTATCTGCAGGACTGGCTGACACAGCTGGACACATACTCTAGCTGCCACATACTGACTAATCTGTCAAGAACGATGGATGCTGCTAAGTGACAATGAAAGTGCACGAACCAGATGCAGCTTTTAACAGAACCTTCAAGTATTGCGTTGAAATCGCCGGTTCATTTTATTTTCAAAAAGAATGTTCCATTCTCTTCTCTAAACAGTGTTATGTGCTGAGAGCAGTCAATAAACAAACCAATTGCTGGCTGCGGTTTGCATCGGTGAGTTAATCCACACATAGCGTGGTCACAATTTGCAACCCCACGTGTCGTCTCGAAGGGAACTATTTACAATGTCTTGACATCCATTACTGTTTGTAGATGTAATCCTCAGTTCTGAAAAGCTAGCTCTGATTCGTACAAATTATCAGATCATTTATCCTATTATAATCAGTAAGTAAGTAAGTGTCTGATGTCATTTCAGAAGTGGAGGTAGAGTGGTGGATGGGGGAAGAGGAGGTCGTACCTGAGAAACTAGGCGCTGGTTTTCACTGAGCCAAGTTTCCCTCATAGCAGCTTTACGATCAAACCGACGTGCAAGTTGTTCCAGCTTTTCTTGCCTTATCAGCTCTGTTCTTAACGCCAGTTCTCGCTCATGTTCAGCTTTTTCCAGTCTTTCCCAGCCCTGCAACCAGGAAATGCAGAGATCAGGCAATTTTGCCACCGGATTAATTACAAACACACGCAATATCATCGTAAGAGCCCTTGTATGACTTTCATCTGTCATAATGGTTGGATCCAAAGTCAGCAAAGAAGTTCTAGTCTAATTTGAGCTCGTGTCCAGCCAACCAGCAGTGAGGGGAAGGTGGGGGGAGGGGGAGAAAATTAATAACACATCAAAGATCACAACGTTCATTCCCATGTGTCAACCGTTCTTAGCAATTTATATGGGACGTTCAGAATTCAAAGCGCAACTAATTTTTATCACTTACTATCTAGAGAAATCTTCCCCCAATATAATCAGACCCATGATTTCAAGCAAATGTTCATCTTAAATTAGGATTAAGAGAAGGGAGCAAATTCCATTGGACAATACAGGACTCCAATTGGCCAGAGCTGATATGTAATGTCATTTAGATGTGTCCACTTGAATTCAAATGCTCTCCCCCTTTAGGTAGGGTGGGAAGCAACCTCAATGGGTTCAGTTGATAAAAGTCATCCATCCAAAAGCCGGTAATTTTGATCTAGTCATCTGTGACGAGATGACTGATTTCAGGTTAAGTGAGAGGGGCATTACCATCAGCTTCAGTACCATTGGGTTAAGAAAAGGGAGGAAAACCATCCAGCGTTTCCACGCTCCTGGTGACTGTGCAGTGATCATTGATTGAAGTGTGTGTTCATGTTGTGTAAAAGTTGGGTGAAGGCTGCATCACAGACAAGGTTTGTCTGTGATGATCCATGGTTACAGACTGGATTCCTCAATGAAGAATGGCCAACTGGGCGAGGTACTTCTCTTATCATTTGAGCTTTGGTCACTCAATCCACGACTGTTTGGGGGACACTGCTGCTCACAATTGGCTGCTGCGTTTTGCCCACAAAATATACAGACAAGTCACTTTACGGTGTATTCTGTGAAGCGCTTTGAGATGTTTCAACGACGTGATAAGGCTCTGTATCAAATGGAAAGATTATTATTATTGTATTTATGAGTTCGTGCTTTCAAGCAAGGAAGCCAGAACAAAAACCTAAACCTAATAGATGAGGTAGAAAGTGGACCAATAAGCTTCAATAGCTACCTTGTTGATATCTGAGATGAGTTTGCCTTCTCTCGGCATGTATACTTTCTGGTTGTTTGCCCTCATTTTGCTTCGAATGGTGAAAAGCAACACTTCTAGATTTCCTTTTTCTGTAAACCTGCAGACAAAGAAAAAAATTAAATAAGACGAGTTTAGCGGGCTGGGAGGACTCACACCTACACATCATTCAATAAACAAGCCAACTGCTGGAACTCTGGTTATGGTTTGCTGAGTAAATCCACAAACACCAGGTCCCAATTTGCAACCCCATGTGTCAACCTGAAGTGACCTACTTACAATATCTTGACATCTTACAATGTCTTGACATTTTAAGTAGACTGTCACCTCCAGATTGGTCTGCAGTCGGAAAAGAATATACCCATTTCTTCTGGTTTTCCGTATTCCAATTTTATCCCCCCTTCAGAAGCCACTGCCTCATTACGCAACCTTCAGCTGTGGTTAAATCCATTGTGAAATGAGGGTGATTATAAACTGTGCTCAATCTGAATACAAGAAATGACATGTGGCAATTAGCTTGCAGTTCTTTGCTCGAACGTTAAGAAATGCTAATTTAAAGAAATGATTCAGCGATGTCGGGTTCTTACTTTGGTGGCTTTTCTACTGTGCGGTATGTGTTAAAGGCTTGGAGCTGCTGCTGGACGCCAACCAGCGAGTTGGCAAATTTACGGTTGTTCAGGATGATGATGGTCTGTTCAATCCACTCCAGCAGGTCAGATGCCAGTGACTCATACTTCTCGATCATTTTCTCAGTTTCAATTGCGTTGTCAAGCACCTAAGGCAGATACGGGTAAACCATTAACACAGCAGCAATAGCAGCTTGCATTTATATAACGCATTTCACGTAGGATAACATCTTGCGGCTCTTCACAGAGACAATGTTCAACGCCAAACCAGGGGGGGTGAGGGAACTAGCTAAATATCCAAAAAGGCATAAGCTACAAGGATATGGGGAAATGGTTAGTAAATGGGGCAGAAAAGATCAGTCTTTAAAGGAGCCTGCATAGAAACGATGGGCCAAATGGCCTTCTTCTGTGCTGTAAATTTCTACGACTCTCAGTATATCTAATACTACGAGACAAGCCACATGTGTGGAACGCAACCGCCGGCTCATTGTTCTGCCGTGTGACGTCATTCCTCGGGTTAAGCACAAATGAGTATTTATTATTATAATAAAATAATCTGGGGAAGGTTGCAGGAAGCGTTTTACGTACCTTCCCGATACGCTTTCCTTCCACAGCAAGAGCCTTCATCTTGGAGAAGTAGTGGTAGTATGTCACTACGTAGGTGATAATGGACTTCTCATCGGGGTGGTCCACACTGACATCTAACAAAGAACACCCAGGGGATTATTTTCAAACTGTACAGCATAGTTGAAGAGACCTTCCATAAAGTGGAAGGGCTATCAATCATCGCAGATTACCAGCACACTGTATATAAAGGTAGTTATGGTTCAGGCTGTGGGAATGATTCTTTTGTGTGTAGTCAACTGAGTGTCTGACAAGTGGAAACCCATCACATGCTTAGTAGTATCCAAACCATGCTGAGATGGATACCACACAGGAATACCGTGGGAATAGCAATGAGCAGAGCTCTGACAAGTGGAGGTGCTGATAGGGAAGGACTCTCATTACTGGTGCCCCATTCACTTCACTGAAATAGCATTCTGGGCAGGCTTCTGGTCAGAGTGCATGTTGATGTCACATGCCTGCCCGATTCTTCTGGGGTCTGCAGGAAACTGTCCCCAAAGGGAAATAAAAGTTAGCGGAGACTGAATGAGGTGCTCGACTGTCATTCTTCTGCCATTTTCCGGTACCTTTACTTCACTTTGGGCCCAGATCCCCGCCAGCAAATGGAGCCCGGGAGTGAGATGGGAGGTTACTGTTTGTGAGGAAAGGTTAGTGGGCGTGAGGCAGGAGGGTAGTGGGTGTGAGGGGAGATTAGTGTGTGTGAGACATGGTGATGCTCCTGTTGTTTGTTGGGAAGGCAGCAGTGTAAATGGGATCTTGCTGCAGGAATAAAGCACTGCAGGACATAAGGTACGTCTTCTCGAGGGAATCCCTGTTCATCATTGCAACTCACGAGAACTCCACCGTGACCAGAGATCCCATTGAACAACAACAATTTGTCTGTATATAATGGTCTTCATGCCAGGTGGCTTCTTGGAGTGCTTACCAGTGGCAGAGCCTGACACTGAGCAGGGGGAAGGCAAACATAAGGACGGTCGACGAGGAAGGTCTTCAGACGTGATCTGAAAATGGGGAAGGAAGGGGCAAGGCGGAGGGATTGAGGGAGAGAAGCTGAGTTCTCATGGTTCAGTGTGAAGTACATGGTCAGCGGGGGGACACTGCAGAAGATTCACATTAAATGCCCAAGTGGCAGGAGCACCAGTTTCACTGCCGTTTTTCCCGACTGGTGCTTTCTAAAAAACATAACTGTCTGAAAACTTTCCAGTATAAACAGCTCGTATGATGTTACATCTAACCTTCAGGGTCCAGTAGCTTGGTGAGCCCGAGATGTTGCTCCGCAAGGTTAAATGCATTCTGGAGATTGTAGTGAGCGTTGGACTTCTTGAGTTTGTCAAAATCAATCAGATCCGGCCTGTCCAAATGAAAAACCAGTTAGCGAGGAGACGTGGACACAAGACATAGCATGTACTGCATGCAAACAGTGCAGTTATTTACAGAGGAGAAACGGAACGCCAGCCACTATTGTCAGATATGTACCTGTGCTTGTGTATAACAGCATTGAAAGCCATGCCATCCCTCCAGCTGGTGGTAAAGTTGTGAATGTTGACATTTGGATAGCTGCGGAGAGAGGAGGGGAGGGGGAAAAAAAATCACATTAGCTTAACGTTATCCAGGTTTGTTTCAGGGACCAGAAACATGGTGTCAATGAGCAGAAAGTCACAACCTTGTCCTCGGCTGTGTTTTAAAAGACCAGTCACTGGAGCAGGGGGGAGCAGGCGCAGGGGCTCTTCCCTCTCAGCTCTTGTTAAGCCTGCAAGCCAAACCCCTAGCAGGTTGGCCCTCGCTGGACAAGCAGCGGGCAAGCTTGCCAGACAGTTCTCTCAATTCAGCTGGTTAAGATTCCGGCAGTATTCCAACACACACTTTGGGGTCTCCAACCTGTGCCTAATACTCTCCAGAATTAGGTAAACAGGATGAGTCTTTCCAAGGAGAGTGGGCATTCCATTCTGACAAATATCTGGATGTCCAGGTGCAGGTGGGTTGGGACTGTTTAGTCTGGATACACTCAAGGATGGTGATAGGTATCCGGCTGACCGAAAGAAATTGTAAATTTACATTAGGTAAGAATCATTTACCAGAAAACAGCATCAGATAAAGACTATCTATTGTTTAAGAACAGAACAGCGATGTCACAAGCAGGAAAGGAATGCCGAGAACCAAGATTTATAAAAATCTTCGACGTGATTTGGAAATAGTCAAGTCATTTTGATTTGGTACATCTAAAAACAACTAGAGTTGGGCTGTGGGTTGGGCAAGGCTTGAAATAGTAACCAGTCATTAGAAGGTTAGCTTTTCTCCTCAGAGAGAGGTAAGAGGTATCCTGAGCCTGATTCTGGCTTCACCCTTCCACCCTGCAATTAACAGCAGAAGTCACCGATACCATTTGGGAGAAGCCTGAAATCTCTCCTGGTCTCAGCCTTAAGACAATGAATTAAAAAGTTTCAGATCATACAGAACTGTGGAAAGTTCTTACACTCAGTTTTATTTCGGAGGCCAGTTTTCCACAGAGAAAAATTTTCCACCGACAACCACCACTGCAACGTATAGGTTAAACCTGTTTGTGCGACCTTGCCATGCACAAATTGGGTGCCTCGTTCACCTACAAATATGCAGTCACCACACTTTACAGTAAATCCTGTGAAACACTTTGAGATGGTTTGGGAATGTGATAAGGTACTATATAATAATCCTCGCATTTGATACAATACCTTCCCGCATCATTGAGATGTCTCAAAATGCTACACAGGAATTACTCTAACACAGATTGATTGTGTATAATGTGGGAGAATATGGTAGCCAATTTGAGCATAGCAATATCCTACAGATAGCCATTAAGTGAAGAACCAATTTTATCTGGGGATTGTTGTGCCAGGACACTGGGAAAAACTCCCTTCACTTTTTGAATTGTATCACGGGATCTTTAAAGTCCATCTGAACAGACAGACGGAATCTCGGCTTAATACCTAATCTGAGGGACAGCAATACTGTCAATGTAGCGCTCCCCCAGCACTGCACAAGAGTGTCAGCCATAAGCTAGGAGCTCAAAGTCCCAACATGGGATGTTGAGACCATATGAAAAGAACTGGCTCCCTTAAGGGGCTCGGGATTGTCAGGTGAAATGATGGTGCTGACCAAAGGCGAGAGTCCTATCAACTGAGCCGGGTTGAAACCCGCATATCAAATGCAAGGATCATCATTCATAGTTGCTTACCCTGCTGTCTTCATCTGGCACCACAGCAGTAAAGCATCCTTTGCGGATTTCTTTTCCTTGTTGTCTTCCGTTTCAACACTGATATCTTGGATCTGGGGAATACAAACGAGTCCTAATCAGATGGTTTTTCTTTTCATAACCTTTCAGCTGTATTAACGTAATTATTTCCTGGAAACTGCGTTGGATTGGGCTAGAGAGAGGAAGCAGGCTTCTCCTCTAACAAAAGAGCTTTAAACAACTTCAAAGGCCTCAAGAAAAGAGACAATTTATATCTTGTGACAATTAAACCTTCCTTAATTCACAAAATAATCCTCACAATTTCACTGAAGTATGAACGCACCTGAAATCTGAGAATTATGGTCCAAATCAAACCAAGAGTCAGGCGATGGTTTCCGTCTACGATATCGTGAGATCCCATGTTTTCCAGATGTACTCTTTGCTCCTTCAGGAACTGTAGAGCCTTGTCAACATTCTCAAGGCAATGAATCCGCATCCTCCCCTTTGTTGGCTTGGGCTAACAAAGAAAGAGAACAGATATAAATATGAACAGTGGCAATGAAGTATTCAATAAGTGTTACTGCCATCAATACTCTAGAAAAATTAACCTTGAAATGCTAACACTCGCAAATACTCGGCAGTGAAATCATGTTAGGATTGGGTGCATTCTGTGAGATCAACCTTTTTTTCTTTCAAAAATTTTGGTTTTGATTTCTGCTCTGTATAAGTTTGAAAATCTGCTCTCCCCAAGTCTCCTTGAATCTCTGGTTTGCCACTTAATTGGAATATGGAGAAGACTTTGATCAAGTGGGGGGCATCCCTTTAGCCAGATGTTTTGAATGCAAATGGCAAAAAAGAACTGCTCATAGAAATCGTATAACCAACCCACAGGAAAACAGGACACTTTTAGAAGATGGAACCTGTAGCAGAATAATAATCCTTGCATTTGATATAGCGCCTTTTCATGGAATTGAAATGTCTCAGAGTGGTTCACCACACAATTCTTCAACCTGTGGAACAAGAGCTTGAATCCAGTTGACATCGTTAGGAGAAAGGCATCTCTTCTTATTGACCAAGGGCAGTGTAAATCCGGTTCTGAATGGGTGAGGATCACAGTACAAAACTGCCCCTAAATTTTGCACTAAACTGACAATCTCATTCAAAGAGGCAGAAGAATGGCAGATGTGAGAACTGTTAATGTCTCTACATTAATCCAGCCAAATGTTGTATCTGACTTTGACGTTGATTCAGGGGGTGAGTTGGAGGAACTGCGGGATGGAGTTAGAGAGTGCAGGGGCAGAACAACAACAACAAGATTACATTTGTATTACGCCTTTCACGTCGGGAGGACATCCCAAGGCGCTGGACAGAGTGCAGCATTTCAGACCCGAGCTGGGGTCGGGGGTGGGTGGTAACCGATGGCATGGTCAAAGAGGAGGGTCTTGAGGCGGGACTTGAAGGAGGCTAAGGAGGGGGCGAGGCGGAGTGACTGGAGGATGGAATTTCAGAGGTTGGGGGCAGAGTGGCTGAAGGATCTCCCGCCAATGGTGGGGTGGGTGGGTCGGGGGACGTGGAGCAGGCCAGAGCCATCTGAGCGGAGGGAACGGGCGGGTTGGTCGGGGGTTAGGAGGTCGCAGAAGTAGGGTGGGGCAAGGCCACGGAGGGCTTTGTATGTGAGGACCAGGATCTTGAACTGGATCCTCTGAAGGATAGGGAGCCAATGGAGTCGGGCAAGAGTGGGGGAGATGGGGTCACAGAGTTTTGTGCAGGAGAGGACACGGGCTGCAGAGTTCTGGATTATCTGCAGCCTGTGGAGGGAGGAGTTGGGAATGCTGACAAGCAGAGCGTTTGCATAGTCGAGCCTGGAGGTGATGAAGGCATGAACAAGAGTTTCAGTGGCCTGAGGGGTGAGATAGTGGCGGAGTCGGGCAATGTTACGTAGGTGAGGGAAGGCAGAGCGGGTCATTGCTATGATGTGGGGAAGAAAAGACACCTGGGTTCCTGACTGACTTGGTGAGTTGAAGTGTGTAACCATGGAGGTTGATGCTGCCAGAGCCTGTGGTGCTGAGGCGCTGATGCGAGCCAATCGGGAGGGCCTCAGTCTTGTTCACATTCAACTGTAGGAAATTTGTCCTCATCCAGGACTTGATGTCCGACAGGCAGTCTGTCAGGACAGCAGTGGTCCTGCAGTTGAGGGTGGAGGCAGAAAGATAAGAGTTGGGTGTCATCCACATAAATGTGGAAGTTGATCCCATGTCTGCGGATGATGTCACCAAGGGGGAGCATATAGGTATTAAAGAGGAGAGGGCCAAGGACAGAGCCCTGGGGGACGCCAAATGTGACAGTGTGGGGGCTGGAGGAGAAACTGTTAGAGGCAACGAAGTGGAGACGGTGAGAGAGATAGGAATCGATAGAATGTCTGGAAGCTCACCCAGTGATGGTAGGGCGGATTGGGTGGGGGACACGAAGTAGACTAATGTTTGCTGAGCAAAGTGAGTGTAGGAAGTGACAAAGGTAAAGGTGGGGTCAGACCGTGGAGGGATTTGAGGAGGATACCCAGGCAGGAGCAGAGGTAGGGAGACTGCAGCACGGACAACGTTTAAATGCACAGTTCATAGAAACTGTAAAACAAGGTAACTGTCCCCGATAACTCAGTCATCCATTCAATCATATTTTTTCTTGCATACTATATATATAATATATATATACAACAACTTGCACTTATATAACTCCCTCCATGCAGGGTAGCGTCTCAGAGCTCTTAACAGCTGGTTGGAATTATATTGTTATAGGATGAAACATGATCTTGGGGTTTGAATGGCCATGTAAACTACTTAAAACCAAATTTCTGTGGTTTACAACATTAGAAATTCACCATTGTGTTGCGGCCAGAAGTAAAAATTCTAGCCAAACACTTACATCAAATTTTGGATCTGAACCCAGGCGTTGACATACAGGAAGCTTTGGTTTTAATAATAAGGCCATAGACTAGCTTAAAATATATCCAGAAACACAGGCTTTGAAGCTTTGTTCAACGAGCATGTGACAACATGCACACATCAGTCCCATCGTGGAACAGTAACCCATTGTCAGCCAGTCAACCCCTGATCTCGGGAAAAGATTTTTCTTATATGAGAAATGATCAGATAATTACAGCACCTGCCTTTGGGGTAAATACATTTTTAGGTGAACTTTCAATGATGCACTTTGTTTCAGTCAAAACTCAAGGCTTCTCAGAGCTAAATGTCAATTGTTGACCAAAGGCAACATCATGTTTTCGGTTGGTAATACTATTTATATGTGTCTAAACAAACTGAAAGTTATAGTGGCTGATATGGCCCAACAAACAATCTGTCAATAACAAGGATGCTTTTTCCATTGAGCCAGACCCAGGGGAAAACAGTGACCCCTACGATGCTTTCCTTAAGCTTATTTTATCAACCCCTAACCTCGCTCTGCTCCACTGGTTCCCTATCCTCCGGTGGATCGAAATTCAAGATCCTCGTCCTCACGTTCAAATCCCTCCACAGCACTGGCAGACTGGCTCCCCGAAATGGCTCAGGATTGTCACGTAGCACGATAGTGGCTATTCACAGGGAGTATAGAGTTGTAGGGGGTGCCCATTTGGTATATAAATGCAAGTTGTTGTTATTGTTATCACGCCAATGAGACATCTCAAAGCGCTTCACAAAATATACTGTAGAGTAAATTGACTGTATATTTTGTGGGCAAATCCTATGAAGCATTTTAGGATGTCCTTCTGATGTGAAAGGCACTATGCTAAGGGGAAAGATTATTAACATGCAGGCAAGAGGAAAGTAAATGCTTTTTCTGAAGTATCTATCCCTTAACTGAACTTAAATGCATTCAACCTCCCCACTGTGACTATGGAGCTATCTCGGTTTCCTAGTTACACAGGCAGCTGAAGACCACAGTAATATATGATCTACAGTAAGTACACAATTACAACAAGTGTGGCACATTCCTGTGGTTATTTGCACACATACACTATTTGAAAATGCCTAAACACATTGTCTTCAAGCTGCGGATGAGTTAAGACAGAATTCCCTCAGAAATCAAAAGTTTGCACCTCTGCCCCTTACCCCGAAATGATATCTTTAATCAATCACACACAAATAGCCAGTGTGTCTAGAAATAAATTTCTGTGTGCCTAGAAAGAAATGTACACTCTCTCCCTGCTTACGTAATTCAAGAGCGTATTAGGCTTCAGTTAGGCAAGAGCCAAGGCTTGTGGATTCCAGAGTGTATGTTGGGGTACTGATGGAGTTTAACAGCTAAAGTTGCGTAGCCCACTGAATGCACTGTTTGGCAAGCTTCCGGCTGCTTGTCCTGCTAGGACCACACTACCATTTAAGGCTTTTGCTTCCAGGGTTAAGAGGAGCTGAGTGGGAAGAATCCCTGCTCCCAGTGACCAGAATACTCTTCCCAGTTCTAGCAACGAGCCGGGCTGGCTGTTCTGTCATCGGCCCTGGAGTCTCTGCAGACAGACCCGCCTGGCTCAGGAAGCGGACAACCGAGACTGCCACAGCAGATTGACTCAATTCCAGCGTTCCGTCACCAAGCACGTCACCTTATTATTAATATCTTGTTATAAAGAACAAAACCACAGCTAAAGCAAGAGATAAATATTTTTAAAATGTTGAATAGAAATAAACAGGTCAAATCTTGTTTGAGGTGTTCTTAAAAAAAAATTACAAGCAAACACACCTCTCCGCTCCCCACATCCCCCACCCGGAAATCTGAAACAAAACCAAAACAGTCTGGAGCTGGCCAGCAAGTTGCACAGTAAACTGCAGCAGAGAGTAATGTTTTGGGTGCAGGCTTTTATCTGATGAAGGTCACAACTTGAAATAATAAGCTTCCTCCCTCTTTCAGATAGAATCTGCACCCACAAAATTTTCCATTTAGATTTTGTTCTTGCCCAGGTTGTTAAATGTTTAATAATTGTTTACAAGATTTTTTTTTGAGGGGGATAGTGGGTGGGGAGGGGGAAAGAGGTCAACAAAAGTTGTTTCCCAGGGACCAAGAATATCCTTCAGCTTTTGAAACATTAGCCCAGAAGTCATGCTGAATACAAATTGCTGCTTAATGTGACCCAAGCACAATGGAGTGCTGCTTGAGCAAAGCTTTCTGGACCTACGTGCCTGCACGCGAAGGGAAATGATCATCAACGCCGTCGTGGAGGGCATGTTACCAGCGCCCCCAACCATTCCCACCAAAAACAACCTGTTTTTATATTGAGCCCTTCATGGCACTCGACCAGTCACTGGGGCAGAGATTCTTCCCACTCAGCCCGTTAACCCTGCAAGCCTAAGCCCTGAGCAGTTGGGTGGTCCTTGCTGGACATGCTGCAGGAAAGCATGCTAGACACTGCTATCAATGTGGTTTTAGCTGGTTAGACTCCAGCGGTACCCCAACACACACTCTGGGGTCACCAAGCCTGCGACTAATACTTTCAGAATTAGGTAAGCAGGATGTGTCCCTCCAGGAAGAGAGTGCATATTCCATTCCAATAATCATCTCTGGAATTTCTATGTGTGGTTGAGATGCATGGAGCTCTGTGTATGTGGTTTGGAAACTCTTTAAGTATGGTGATGGGTTATCGCCTAACCAAAGTAAAATAGTGCACTTCACGCAGGGGGCGTCAAATGTCTTACTCACAAGTCTTTCCCCTGACAAGACCTCCAGCAGTTTGATCAGCATGCGTCCATCCCGTAGGTCCATGTACAGGTCCGTGATTCTGCAGGATACTCGTGCCAGGTGAGAGTTCACCCATTTTGTGAACGTTTTCTTTTGGACAGCTTCACGCTCGTCTGAGGAAATAAAACGGTACGGGATCAGTCACTCTGAGGGAACGCTCATCTTCACACCATCGTGAAATTCCCAAACTGTAAAGATCACGGCGCTCGAGGCAAGCGAACGAACGAGGTACTCCAGCACAAGGCCTGCGGTACATAACAAGGACCCCAGACTAAAATAAATACTTTGAGAATTAGCGCCCAATTTAAAGCCATTCCGCTTTTATTCTTCGTTGAATAAAACTTCTCCTAATTCCCTATGCTGTTGTGTAACTGCAGTAACATCATAGTAAGATAACTGCAAATTGGTTGCCAGGTTCACCTACAAATAGACAATTCACCTCACTTCACGGCAAAATTATGTGATGTGCTTCTGAAGGACGTGCTAAGACGCTATATCAAATGCAAGGATTATTATCAATATAATAAAGTGTTATAATACTACAGTAAGACTCTCATAAGTCTGATATTTATAAATCGCACAATCACTTAAGTCTTACATAAGCCCAAATCCCGTTCAAGAGTTTATATTCTATGCAAGTTTGACATGACTCATACTTTGCAGGAGTCACATTTAATGTATCGCCCAACTGATACATCTTATGTGAGATTTACTGTAATAATAAATATAATAATACTTGCATTTGATTCCGTGCCTTATCACATCGAGACATCTTGAAGTGCTTCACAGGATTCACTGCAAAGTGTAGTGACTGTTTTGTGGGTGAAATGCATCAGCCTCCAGTTTTGCCACTTTACCCCATTACAACTATGAATGAATCAGCATTGCAGACACACTTTGGTGCATTTTGAGTTTATATCCTGCACATATGTCAAGACATGTTATTGTGGTTACCACGTGACTGCACTGGCACACCTAAAATTGAAATGCTTCCTGATAAACACAAACTGTGAAATGCATTTGACATTTATATTGTGCCTTTCGTGTTGGGAGTTAACAGTCCTGTCTTGACACCTGAGCTGGTGTGAAGGATGAGGAGGGAAAAAGATCATTGAAAGCGCAGTCAATGAGGTAGATTTTGAAACGGCCTTTGATCGAGAGGAGGGAGGGAGGGAGGGAGCGCGTCAGAGAAACTCCAGTATGGGAGTTTGAGTGAGGGCAGATAGGCTTAAAACTATGATGGGGCATGTAGGGCAGGGGCCGTAAAGCAGTCTACGCATATAAGAACTCATTTTAATTACAAAGTCCATCAGGCAAAATACTCTGTTTTCTTCCTTCTTTTTCCCCCTCACGCCACCACCCCCCACCCCCAACCATCCCCATAAAATAGAGCCTTGTGTAATAATAATAATCATCCTTGCATTTGATATAGCGCTTTTCACGTCGGGAGGACGTCCCAAAGCGCTTCACAGAACACACTGTAAAGTGAATTGACTATATATTTGTGGGCGAATGCGGCAGCCAATTGCGCACAGCAATGTCCCACAAACAGTCGTAGATTGAAAATGACCAATTTATTATTGTTTTGGTTTTTCTTTGGAGGGATTATTATTAGGCTCTGTGTGGAGTAAGGAAACTTGCCCAAGGTTTCGCCCTCTGCCTGGAATTGAACTCAGGTCTCTCGCTTGCAAAGCGAGTGCTCTAACCACTGAGCTACAGGACTCCACAATGTAGCTTCCAAGCATTGTTATGCAATGTCAGTTTAGTTCAGCTGACAGGGTACACTTGAGCTTGCAATCCAAGTCAGTGTTTCAGGGCAAAACAGAGAGAGAGCCGGTGTTGGGACACGCTATCAGATAATCTGTTAAACATGGAATTCCCCTTGCTGTCTTGGCCAATATCTCTTCCCTCATCCAGAATCCCAAAGTCGTAAAAAATGAAACATTCGCAGGTAAATTTGACAAGTAATGCATCATGCAGTTTTTGCATTTTAAGATTGGGCCTTGGATTTTAAAGATTGGTTTAATTGGACAGGCTGATTAATCCAACGGGAATGACATCAGTGACACCTAAATTCATGGAATGCGTGCAATGGAACTGTAAGCAAACTATTTCCATTAAAGCCTCTGAAGATCTGTAACACATACGGCACCTTAATGGGATTTATTAACTGACAAATATTCAAAACAAGACTAAAATCCATCAGTGACTGCTAACAAATAATAAGGTAAACGTTCTCCGCCCGGCTGGAACAGTCCTTCTTGTGCAGCTGGTGCCGAGAGATGAACGATCAAATCAGATTACTCGTGGAATACAAGAGCACCGGTTTTGCTGACATTAATTCAAGAAGTGTCGCCAAGCAACTGATAATGTATCAAATGACCTTCAGCTGGGATCTGATGGCAAATAAGTCATTGAGCTTTTCAGTCTTCACTCTTAGTATGATACACTCTACCTGCTTATCTACTTGCCAGTAAGATGAAAATCTGTTATACTCTTCCCAATTTGAATAGAAACAGCAGAACATTAATCTGAAGAGCAGTGAACACAGCGGACCGATATTTACAAAGTGCAGCTGAAACAGGATTTCTTGTCTGAAGAGCATCTTTGGTTGAAATGACAGAAAAGATCTTGTGAAATCAATGAGGTGTTCTGCAGGTCAAAGTGTCACTAATTTCAAGCATACAACAACAATTTGTATTGTATAGTGTCCTTCACCCTGGGTAGAATCTGAGTGCTTAAAACACAGAATCATGAGGGAAATAAAGGAACAGCACAGTACAAAAATGATCTTTATTTGGTATTGGGCCTTTCAAATAGAGGAAGACTCAAAGCTCTTCACTGGACATACTGTAAAGTGTAGTGTACTGTTGAAGGTTCACATATTTTATGGACCACTGCCAATTTTGTCCACATCAATGTTCCACAAAACAGCCATGAAGTCAATCACAAATTTTGTTTTGGGGGATTATTGGCCAGGACACCGGGAGAAACTCTTTTTGTTCAGTGCGGTGGAATCTGTAACCTTCACATGAAGTGAACTTCGGTTTAACGTTTTATCTAAATAACTCATATCCAATAACAAGTATCGCAACTGCACTGGAATGTTAGCTTAGACTGCATGAGTTCCAAGTTGCAACTTGAGGCTTGAACCTATAAGTAGGGGATACAATTCCGGGATTTCAGGAGCACCATTACCATAAGGGAACCATAATGGTATTCCCAAAATCTTGGGATTGCAATCCCGTACCCACAACCTTCTGACTCAGAGACAAGAGTGCTACACCAGGCTACACCAGGCTGACACAAGATCCTTAAAGACACGATTATAATCCAAACCTACTGGTTATTGTAACCTCTGTATACTGTGGACATTTGTACAACAGAGTCTCACTGAACAATTTAAAAGAAATAAAACAGGGAAGCATCAAGCCCATATTTGACCTGACATACCTAGCTGATGTTGCTAAATGGGAAAATTCAGGAATTCAGAATAAAATTCCTACAAGTATCAACAGTGGCTTTCAGTGCATTTCAGCTTCACCCCCATATAGCAGAGGTCAGACCTCAGCAGAGATCTATGTGAGATGTGATACTATACGACCACAAAATCATTATGATCCTTCCATCTGATATTGTGCCTGATCTGTGACATGGCTGTTTGTGAGACACTGCTGTGCGCAATTGGCTGCCGCACTGGGCCCACAAAATACACAGTCAATCCACTTTACAATATATCCTGAACTGCTTTGAGACACCTCGATTTATCAAATGCAAGGTTTATAATTATTATGATCAGGTCATTGAACATCGTGTGTTGCTTGGTTACTTTGGTTAGTGATTCACTTCTCTCCCTCCCTCCATTTGCACCCTTGCTCTATCTCCCCTTCCCCCAATCTTCCCTCCATATTTTTGTTACCCAGATTCAGGAAAAAAAATAAAACCATGAAATAAATACCTCGAATAAATTTAACCAAAAAGTGCTCTTTCACAAACCCAATTCTACTCCACTTTCAGAACCACTGTGGTTGCAAAAGTGCAGTGTGATCTCTTGTGTAACCTCTCTTTGCTCCTCAAACGCCCAGGCGTCAACGCGATGGACTTGCTTCCGGTTTTGGGGGGCCATTCCAGGTGCAGAGCAACCACACACTAATCCTGAGCTGCCTGCCTCAGAACACTGCTTATGACACAAGAAACATTTCTGAGCCACCGACTGAAGGACCTGTTCTAGGACAACATGATCCTAGCTTTGAAATGTGGAATTCTCCATGACACAAGCCACCGTTGAGGCAAAGCCGATCAATTAGTTTTAAGAGGAAATCTGGTAGGTGCTTGAAAGGGAGGAATGGTAAAGAAAATGGGGAGTAAGCGATGCACTGGATCAAACAATTCACAGGGTAACTTTAACCCAGACTTTGATGATGGATGCCAAATTGCAAGGTGTGGCAAAAAGCAGACTCCACAGAGAGGAATCAGGATAATAGTAATAATAATTCTTGCATTTGATATAGCGTTTTCATGTCTTCTAGACGTCTCAAAGCGCTTCACAGAATATACTGTAAAGTGAATTTGACTGTATATTTGTGGGCGAACGCGGCAGCCAATTGTGCACAGCAGTGTCCCACAAACAGTCGTAGATTGAAAATGACCAATTTTTTTTTTTTTTGTTTGGAGGGATTATTATTAGGCGTGTGGAGTAAGGAAACTTGCCCAAGGTTTCGCCCTCTGCCTGGAATTGAACTCAGGTCTCTCTCTTGCAAAGCGAGTGCTCTAACCACTGAGCTACAGGACTCCACGTCACTTGTGATAATAAAAGAATTATTATTGGAAACACACGTTCTATAAGGTTCAACAAATGTGTTTTCTGTTCATCTGATCAGTGACATCTTGGCAGCTACTCAGTCGAAAGGTGGGTTGGAATTTTATGCCTCAGAGCGGGGCTCTGCTGTACTATTTGATCCTAAGCATTACCATTCAAAGTGTTTCACTAATACAGCATTATAGTTGATGTTCCTTCAATTAGGCACTTTTTTGTTGTTACTTTAAATCATGGAGAGAATCATTTAACCCGCCAAAATACAGGGCACACTCATACAAACACTGATACCACTTA